TTCAGGCCCAGGTACTGGGTCACGGTGTTAGACACCGTGAGTGTCAAGTCACTCCTCAGTTCCCCTTCGAACCAGGTGGCGATGTCGGTAGTGGAGCCGATGTAGAGCAGGTCGTCGACGTAGACGATTAGTAGGACAAGACCCCTTTCCTTTTGTAGTCGGTACATGCCTTGGTCGTGCGGCAGCTGTAGGAAGCCGATCCTGACGATGCGGCCGTGAAGATGCTGCTGCCAAAGCCGCGCGGCTTGTTTGATCCCGTAGAGGGGTTTTATCAGCTGGAATACTTTCGTGGGATCGTCGATGAATCCGTGGGGCTGTTCGACGAAGATCTCGGCGTCCACAGGTGCGTACAGGAAGGCGTTTGCGACGTCGATCTGGCGCTGTGGTAGCTTCTTCGTGGCTGCGATGGCGAGTAGAATGCGCAAGGAGGTGTGACGAGAGACTGGGGCGAATGTTTCTGTGTAGTCGGTTCCGTATCGCTGATCGAATCCTCGTACGACCCAGCGAGCCTTGAATCGTTCGATAGAGCCGTCCGCATTAGTCTTGATGCGGTACACCCACTTTCCCGAGAGCACGTTTTTCCCGTTGGTTTTTGTTGCAGGTACCAGCTTCCACGTATTTCGGTCTTGCAGGGCCTTGTAGAAAATCACATCACGTGAGGCCACGGTATTTTTGTCTTGTATGTCGAGGAGTTTCCATGCTTGGAAATGTTTTGCGATCCCGAGGTGTAGTCCCCACCATGCTCGTTGAGAGAATCGTCCTGCTCGAGCTGTGTGGGGTCTGTACTGTACCATGCAGCCGAAGACTCGAAGTAATTTTGTGCTGCCCCTTTTTCGTGTCCACAGCAGGTGCGGTGATGCGTTGTTGGGAAGTGATGACGAGGACAGCAAGTTGTGCAGGTGGACTGCATGCGTCATTGCGTCTGGCCACAGTGTGTTGGGCAGTCTCATCCCCAGGAGCAGTTTTCGCATCGTCATCTGCAAGGTCCGGTTCATCCTCTCTGCGACCCCCTGCTGTTGGTGAGCGTAGGGCAGGGACACCAGGCGTCTGATGCCTCTTTCTGCCAAGTAGTTCCTGAATCGTTGTGACTGGTACTCCAGTGCTCCGTCTGACTGGAAGCTATTGAGTTGCGAGCCTGATTCGCGTTCGGCGATGGGCAGCCATGCGGTGAAGGCTTCAAATGCTTGATCTCGTGTCTTGAGGTTGTAGTGCCAGACGTATCGTCTTGCTGCGTCGATGAACGTTATAACGTAGTTGTATTCTGCTTCACTATCGTCTCGAGGCATATTTAAGATGTCGCTGTAGACTTTTTCCATCGGTTCGTATGCAAGTGCGCTTGGATTGTGGTGCGACGGAAAAGGTTGGTGAGGAAGATCGGCTTCGGGGCACGTGAAGCATCATGCGCGGGGTCGTCAAAGTTCTTGGCCGCTCGTTGTGAGAAGGGCGTTTCTTTTTAACACTTCGGCTTGTACGGTTTGTAGCACTGTGCTATTTGCAGGGTGTCCGAGGCGTTGATGCCAGATGTCGTCGGGAGCGCGATGGCCAGTTGAGCGGTGGTACATGTCGACGTTGGAGAAGAATGCGACGATCGTGGCGGGACTTCGGCAGACTTCTCGGGTGATGGGCATAAGTTGATCTTCTTCGGTTGGCGGTCCTCGGATTGCTGGTGATGGTACACGGCTGGGTCCTGCTGCTGCTACTGTAGGTGATGTCGGGGAAAAGACGCTTGCTGGTACTTGTCTTTCTTGTCGGATGAGTGCTAATGCTCGTGTTCTCTCTACTGCAGATATGGTGTTAGAGTACCAGAATCCATCTGGGGTAAAGTCGGGGTCAAGATCCGGCGGGTGCGTCCAAGCGACGAACGACACGATGCCATCGCTGTCGGCACTACCGCGGTCGGGGACGAAATCCAACACGAAGACACCCGACTTCAGGAGAGCGCGACCGATGAAGAGGCCGCCCTTCCCATGGTAAAGACGAAATTCGTTGGCGTCCGAGTTGCATTCCAGGTGAATCCGTTTTTCCATTAGCTGACTGACGCTTAGCAGATTGTATCCCAAGTTGTCGATGATTAGAACTTTGTTGAGTTGTAGTATGACATTTGTCTCCATGAACTGCAACTGAACCACTCCTTGTCTGTTTGTTTTCAGGTTCTCGTTATTGGCGACGGTGATGATGACATCGCAGTTGAGACGTCGTTCTCGTTGCAGGAAGCGCCCGGAAGAACACATATGTTGACCGCAGCAGCTGTCCAGGAACCAGGTGTTTCGCCCGGTGGGTTCGGCGTTGGCGATTGCAGCGTACGTCGGGTTGACCTGAAGACCTTGGGAGCGCGGAGGCGGCAGTTCTTCGTTTGGAGCGTAAGTTGGTGGTGATCCAGGTGCGCAGTTGTCGATGCGTACCATACAATTGATGATGTTAGGTGTGCCCTGTGCAGATATGGAGGAACGCCTTGGCGGACTTTCTTTGAGTGGAAGCGACTTGTGGGTCTACTGGACGATAAACTTGGGGGCGTGTGCTGTTAACTTTAGAGTGTCCGGATGTCTGAAAGTTGTGGCAGAACGGCGGCACGATGGTGAGTCCTTTGGTGTCGTATCGATTCTGCCTGTCACGTCGATTGTAGTTGTCGTTTCTTCGTTGAGCATAGAAGACTAACGGTTGCTGCTTGTTTCTTGGTTGTCTTTCTTCAAACAGGTCCATCTCCAATTGTTCAGCATGAAGCTCGGCGCAGAGGTGCATCTCCGAAATTCGTCTGTGGGAGGGAAGAAGCGAGCGGGTGGTTCTCCATTCTGGCCCGAGCCCGGCGAGGACAAGTGTCACGAAGCTTTCTTCAGTTATTGTACCTCCGCACCGAAGCAAGCGGTCGCGGAGTGTCTGGCAGCGACTCATATACTGCATCGCCTTTTCCCCGGTTTTCATTTGTATTGTTGTCAACTGCTGCATGAGTCTGCTTTGTGTCACGTTGTCATTTGCTTGGTAGAGACACTTGAGGTGATGCCATGCGAGCTCCGCGGAGTTTCCGTGGCTCCGATACGTTCTGATGCTTTGTTGTTCTTGTGGTGACATGTTCCGCATGAGAACTGTGTACGCCAGCAGCGATTGATAAGCGAAGATTTCCTGCTCCTTTGCAGTACCATTGCTTGGAAATGCCAGGGACCCGTTGAAGTATCCCAAGAGGTGCGCGGCCTCCATCAGCAGCTCGAACTCGAAGCTCCAGGTAAAAAAGTCGTGTCCGTTGAACGGTGAGGATGTCTGCAGTTTGATCACGTGTGAAAACTGCGCCTGGAGACTCAATATCTCGTTTGGTGTTTGTTCTGATGTAGCTGCTGTTGGTTGGGCACGGGGCGGCATGAACTCGAACGTCCCCGGTGAAGAGTGATATGGCGCAAAGGTAGGCGCTTGATTGTGTCGCCCGAACGATGAGTTGTCGAGGCTCATTGGCGCCAATCCACTGTTTCCTTCGTTGCGCTGTGTTGAATGTGCAGGTATCCTTGTCTGCTGCTGCTGCTCGAAGTGCGACATGAAGCTGAAGAACCTTTCCATAAGGTTCGGGTCCATGCTTGAAGAGGGTGATGGGGTCACCATTTCTAGTGCCCTTCGTGTTGTTTCTTGAGCAGCGCCGGTCTAGGTTTGCAGTCCTGAAGTGTGTCGTCCAGAGTTCCCGGGTTGAGTGTCTTGGGCGCTGGGTGAGCCCGTAGAGATCTTCTTGCCCTTGTTGTCCATGCCTTATAATTGATGAAGCTGTTGATGTGTTAACTGTAGGTAGAGCGTTGTTGCTGGGAGTTTGGTCTCTGACCAACTCTCATACCATGTTGGGCTGAGAAAAGCCCTAGGATCTTTTCAGAGACTAAGTCCCAGTTGTACAAGATACTTGAGTACTGCAGCGGAAGTGTTGAGTAGTTGAACCCTTGCATTAGTATGTGAAAGCAAGTGATATTAAAAGAAACAAGCATACAGCAATATATAGAAATTAGGAAAGTAAAGCAGTTGTGGAATACAGTTGAAAGAACGGTTATCGAGTCACACAGCGACTCCATGATCGGTTCGGTTACCACCCTTGCAGTTGTAACGGTCAATCGCAACCGGAGGTTGCGACCCTTAGAGTCTTTCGTCTTTTCGTGTTCTTTCGTCCAACCTCCTCGTGTAACCTCCGTTGACTCGCATACCTGATACAGCTTTACTCGAGTGTAGTGTCATACTTCAGAAACGCTGAAGTCCTTCAGGTATTTCCAACACTGATGATATCCCTTCTTGTCCGTGTGGTTAGGACTGGTGACTTGACAAAAACACCCTTGAAATTTGGACCCTGATCTCTAACTTCTGCTGTGCTATTATGTGCTCTGTTTTGAAGGACTTAATCTCTGCAAAAGATCCTCCTAGGGCTATTTCAGCCAAACAATTTCAAAAAATCTACTACACCCTCATGAACGACGTCAAAAAACAAGTCAGGGCATAAGCGATATTACATACCGTAATCCCCCGTATATAACACCCTATGGTGTATATAAAAATTCACTAAAAAAATGACTGGGTGTTAACAGTGGCCCGGAAAAATATAGTGCCCATGTGTTATGTAAAATGCAAATTGAATTTGAGTGTTTTAGGCCATGTGTGTTCAAAAATGCGCGGAGCGACTGTTAGCGAGGTACCGCATCCGCTACGATGAAACTCACAAACCAATCGTCGTTGGCCAATCCCTGCTGAGTGCTGTAGTCAGGGCCAGGTTTGTGCGGCACCTGCGACTGCATGATCGCGACAGAATCCGCGACTTCGACGGGTGGATTTCGCTCGGGAGGATTCTGACCGTCAAATCACAACAGAATCCGCGAATTCAACGGTCGAAATCCTCCCGTCTCGACCTTTGCTGACGTTTCGATTTCGCACTTCAACTTGTGTTGATGTTTCTGCCCGTTTTTCGCTGCTAATGGTAGTTGACATTGCGTTTTTCATCCTGTTCGATTTTTTTCTCAATCGAGCTGAGCTTGAAAAACTACGAAATACTGTTCTTTGCTGCATAAAACGAGGAGGGTGTTATGTAAAATGCAGCCCCCGAAAAGCGGGTGCTCTCCTAAATTCACCCTATCATAAGCTCTCCCCCGCATAAACCACCCGCGGAGTGACTATTTCGGCGGGTGTTATATACGGGGGATTACGGTACAAGCAAGCCCTTATTGGCATGTCAGATGTTGCATGGCGGCTACTTTCAACAGCCATGCTTCAAGAATTGCCAAGCCTTGGCCATTCCAACCGAACGGCCATGGCGATGCAGTAAACAATAACACCATTGTCACGGTTGATCAATGGCCTGTCAGCGGGACTGAGCTGAAAACATACACGTGAGATGGGCAGAGCAGCATATGCCTCACCAAACTTGACCACCTCATGCTGCTGCCACTGCTACTGGCTCGCGACCTCACTGGCGCCACTCCCAACAGCTTCCTCAGCAGGCAGGCAACAATGCCAAGAAACTGAAGGCGCACGTGCTTGCCCCTACTACCGCTGCTGCTGCTGCAGGAATGCCTGGTACATGTCGAGATTGAACGCCTGCAAGCACGGGCGCGAGTGGGTGCGCTAGTCAGGCCACCATGTATCAAGGGAGCAAGGCAGGACTCCAGGGGATGGAAGGCGACAAGCCACGACACCCAGACAATGCATAAAAGCATACCTGGCGTTGTTGCTGTTGTTGCTGCTGCTGCTGCTGCTGTTGCTGTTGTTGCTGTTGCTGCTGTTGTTGCTGCTGGTGCTGTTGCTGCTGGTGCCGCGCCAAGTAAGCATCCATGGGGTCAACAGTGGATCCCATTTGCCGGTGTCCCTCCAGCATCGCTGCAGCGGCTGCCATGGCCGCTGACGTTGACGCTGATGCCGATGCGGAAGCCGATGCTGCCCTCCCTGCTCCCCCCTCCCGCCCTGCACCCCCCCCTCCACTCGCACCCCCCTCTGCTGCCACCACTGCTGCCTGAGCCGCCTGCAGCTGTGACAGCAGCTGAGAGTGCCGCGCGGATTGGGAGAGCGACTGGGATGACGTGGCAGCAGCCATTGCAGCCGCGACTGATGACATGTCATTAAGTCGGCCCTGCCCGCCTGTATTCGGCGCCAGGTCAGCACACGCCATCTCCATCATGAGCCGCTGCTGAGCTGGCAGCCCCGCAAGCTCCGACAGCCCGAGGCCGCCCATGCCCATGCCGCCCATGCCCAACCCCCCAATCCCTCCCAGTCCGCCCATGCCAAGCCCCATGCCCATGCCCATCCCCATGCCCATGCCCGCGTTGATCCCCCCCAGTCCCCCGCCCAGCCCTGCGCCCATGCCTGAGAGCCCCATGCCCAGCGCGCCTGGCAGCGGCGCCGATCCCATGTGCGCCGCGGCCGCGGCCATGTTGGCGGCGCCCAGCGACGGCAGCGCCGCGCCCGCGGCGGTGAGACCAGCGGGGATGCTGATGCCAGTGCGCATCGACATGACCTGTGGCGCGCGGAGGGTCGGGCGGAGAGAGAGTTCGCGCGCGGAAGGGAGGGGGGAGAGGGAGGAGTGAGAGTGAGCGGCAATGCGGAGGGAGACTATCGAGGTCTAACACAACGCAACATCGGGCGGGGGGGGAAGAAGGCGTGATGTGAAGAGACACGGGCGACGGACGGTGCAGGGGCGAGGGGAGTGGGTGCTTGCCTGTAGCTGCAGCTGCAGCATCTTGAGGTACTCGATGGCCTCGTCCAACATGGACGCCTTGTCCGTCTGTACCGACACAGGCGCGGCAGGGCGCATGTCATACAGCACACACCACACGCAGGCACACAACGCACGCAGACAAAGAACAAAGTTCCTGGTTAGAAGTCATGCAACAGCGCGGCCAAGAGAAGGGAACACGACGGAAGGGGCGGTGGTAGAGGGCGGCGGGCGGGAATGCGGGACGGGGTGTGCGAAAGAGCGGGTGGGAGGGAAGGAGAGGGCGCGGCGGCATACCTTGTTGGAGTTGGGAATCAGCTCCTGCAGCGTCTTCATCCTCTCGTTGATGCGATCGCGCCGCCTCTGCACGACGCCATGTCACAACACAGGTCAGTACACCACACGGCCAGAGAGTCTAGACAGCACGGCACAAGGCACTTGACGAAGCAGAGCATGCACAGCGCGCCACGCACCCTCTCCGACATGTTGTGCACTTCAGCGGCGCGCGCGCGCTTCGCGGCGCTGCTCTCGTTGCCCGATACGGCCATGCGCTTGGCCGTCGTGTTCGTCTTGCGCGTGTCCGCGGACTCCTCCGCCGCGTCCGCCTCGTCGAACGCCATGTTCTCGCTCTCCTCGCGCGACCGCTTCCCCCAGCTGCCGCCGCCTCCGCCCGACCCTGGATGAGTGTGCGAGTCCTTCGTTCCGCACGTGTTTTTTCGCGCCATCCGCTCCCCGCGCGCGCCCATCGTGTCGTCGTCGTCCCCCCCCACGGCGCAGCTGCCCGTGCCGTCGCGCTCGTGCTTGCCCCACGCGGCGGGGGAGTCCACGTTGCTTGTCACCGTCGATGCGTGCCACGCGTCCGCCGACGCCTCGCCGCGCGTGCCCTCCCCGGGCAGCTGCCCCGCCGCGCCCTTGTGCTGCTGCTGCTTCGCGATGGGCGCGTACGGCAGCGGCTTCGCCGCAGCGGCGGACAGCGCGCCTGCCGCAGCAGAGTGGGCGGCGGAGGTGGACCCGCCAGCGGCAGGCGGAGACCGCGACAGCGCGCGCGAGGAGGGGCCTGCGGGAGCACCCGACTGGCTAGCAGCCGCGCCCGAGGGGCTGCCGGTAGCCGCGAGTTGCGCGAGTTGCTGCGCGGTGGCTGACGAGGGGGACGCTGAAGAATCGCCTGCGCGCGCAAGCGCAGGGGCCGATGGCGCGGTGGCGGGCTTCGAGGGCGGCGCCAACGTCCTGGACGGCGGGCGAAAGGTTCCCTGAGAGCTGGGCGGCGGCGCGGCTGCGGACGGTGCGGCGGCGGTGAGGGACTTAGAGTTGGAGCGGCCGTAGAGAGCGGCGGGCAGCGAGAAGTGCGAAAAGTTGAGAGGCGTGGCGCGGGGAGGGGCGGACAGGGGGAGGTTCCCTTGGGGATTGGCGTCGGGGAATCGCATCGACGACTGCTTCGCCTCTAACTTCACTAGCTGGCACTGCTGCTGCAGCAAAGCCTTCCGTTGCTGCTGCTGCTGCTGCTGCTCCTGCTCCTGCAGCTGTTGCTGCTGCTGCTGCTGTTGCTGTTGCTGCTGGTGCTGGTGCTGGTGCTGTTGTTGCTGTTGCTGCTGCATCTGGAGCACGTGTCGCAGTTTGAGTTGCTGCTGTCTGAGCTTCTGCTGCTCCATGAAGAAGAGCTGCTGCGCGGCCAGCTCCTCCTCGTGCTGCTGCAGCTCCAGCTGCTCGTGCTGCAGCTCCTGCGCCTGCTGCAGCTGCTGCGACTGCTGGCTGAACATCTCCATGATGCTCGCGCCTTTCTCCATCATACTCGCGCCCTTCTCCGCCCCAGAGCTATTCATCCGCGCGTCCGCCAAGCCGCCGGGAAACACGGCGGCCGGCTTGAGGCTGATGGCTCGTTTCTGCGCGAGGAGCGCGGCGACGCCCATGTTGCTTAGCGCCGCCTTCTTCGCCACCCCGTCGCCGCCCGCCGACGACACCACCCCGAACGGCTTCTGCGACACCATCGCTTGCTCGGGCCTCGAGCTCTTGAAGCCCGGCTTCGCACTGCCGCACGCGGGGGACTTGTGAGCAACGTCCGCGTCCGCGATCATGGGCGCAGGTGCGTGACCGGCGGTGGGCCTTGCGGAAGGATCTGTCTGACTGGGTTGAGCCCCGGCGGCGTCCTTGTGGATCTCCTTGCCCGCCTCGCCGAGAGCGGCGGCGGCGAAGTCGTGCCACGCGTCCGCCGTGAAGGTGCCGTCGATGGCCTCGTCCAGCAGCCACGACACCATGTCGTCGCGGAACGCCGCCGGCGGGGGAGCGGCAGGCGGATCCTGCACCGCGACCTGGTTGTTCACGACGGCGTCCAGCTCAGCATCGCGAACAGCAGCCGTGGATGGAAGCTCCTCGGACGGATACGATGCAGTCTTGGGGTCAACCTGCCACGGCTTCTCTCCCTTCTTCCCAGTGGATTCTTGTTGGGGGTTGTCGAGCCATACCGTGTCAAGCAGGTCGTGGTCCGGTCTGCCAGGAAGCAATGAAAATTAGGAGAACTATTATGGGACGGACGATTCAGATTACGACATGTCAAATGCGTGACCAGGCGAGAAGCACAACAGATGAAACCGGTTTCGCTCAGGGTTAGGCGAAAACAGGAAAAAAACTCACACAAAGGCGAGGTCATCGAACATGGAGCCGGGTTTCTTTCCTGCATGCTGCATAACTACCCACTTGGCCTTCAGCGATGGATAATCATCTATCGCTGACGCCATTATGTCACCACCACCATCCCGGGATGTCATATTCCACTATAATTGCTGTGACTAATTTGAATCCAGTGAAATGCTTTCAGAATTCTCTTAACACGCGCCTCGTGCGATAAATCGTTACCACCAACAACAAACTAGAGCCAGACGTGAGAAGTCCGTACGTCGAGGTTACTAGGTGCTACACGTCAGCAGACAGATCGCGAAAGCAATAACTAAGTGTGGGTCGTACAGACCACCATCCAAACCCTCGTGACTGTGAGAGGGGTGAGGTGAGGCGAGGGCAGGCAGGGCTGGAGGAAGCAGTGGAAGCAGTGACGCGGTGCAGCGGGCTGCAGGGAGGCGGAAGGCGGGGAGCAGCAGCAAACTGGAGCAGGCAGTCGGTTGGTTGGCTTGCCAGCGATGGCGATGGGACGAGGGTTTCGCTTCGCAGGGCAGAGGGGTGAAACGGGCAGGGCAGACGACCAAACCAAGGCGGGCAGAGTCCTTGACATTCCTCGGCGCTGATTCGTTGCTTGGTGCAACTAGGGGGAGAACCGAGGAGATGCGGCGGGCACTGCTGGGTTTTCTGCTTGACGAAGCCCGACCAACGCTGTACGGGCCTCGGGAAAGCAGAAATAACGTTGCCGAAAGTGGGGAGGATGCAGGGGGCAGGCCCGAGGATAAATCCCCCAAAAGTTGATCACCACCAAATTTGATCGCCACATCAGCATCAAGTTCCGGGCAGTTGTGACGAAAAGTGCAACCAAGGGGCTTGGGAAAGGTGTCAGCGGGAGGGGGATTTCATGCGCGGGAAACCCAAGCCAGGCCATGCGATGCGATCGAGGACAACTGCGACGATCCAGCTTATGCGATTTCCATGTCATGTCATTGTTCACACGGTCCCTCACTGCCCCTGCTCAGCTCCAGTAGCCATGCCAAGCCCTACAGTACATTACAGCAGGCCATTCCGATTTCCGAACGAGCTGTGGAAGCATCCATGCTGAACAACACGGTCCTTCGGAAGGTACTGTGTGCCAGGTCTGTGCCTCTGGAAGTCAGGGTAATTACACTTCTTTGTCAAGGAAAACAGGGTACAATTTAGACCTAGACCTGCTTTTGACGCATTCAGAATCACGATACCCGTCCATGGACAGGCAATCCCACGGCCGATTTTCGAGTAGGGGATGGACTCACCCTGCAAAATCTAATGTAAATGTTCGCACCCCTAGAAAAAAATGGCTACCCCTGTCATTGTCGGGAGTGGCACATTCCGAGCTGGTCTAAACTCTGGCCTGCAAAAACAGTCAAAAGTTTTAGGGCTACCCAGCCTGGACGAGTTGGATCCCGGGCAAACCTCGGATTCTGCAGGGTGACCCCTAGGTTATCGAGAGGCCTGGTCTGTGCACCGCTGGAGGTTCTATCGTTGCAAGAGACAAATGATCGATGCCCACTGATGGCAGTTCTTCGATTCACCGTTGGACAAGATGAACAACGTGTAATCATATCCATTTATCATGTTGTAACTGTACGAGGCAACTCCCAGCTGGTGTGACGACGGAAAAGGCTGTTCAAAACCCGCTTTCTTCCCAAAGCTGCAGCCTTATCCTGAAATGTATCTATCCGAACCACATGAGAGGGCGACGTATCGAAAATAACCAAATTCGCGGCCAATTCTGCATTTGGCCAGCCCACAAAGGACAGGATTCAACTGTCAATTTGATTCCGACCAGCATTTTTCCAGCAGGGGACTGGGTGACACAAACCTCAGCAGTACCACGAGAACCCAGCCAAACTTATCCACTAGGATTGCCATCGGGCCCTCCATTTTGACTTCTCACGCTTCTCACGGAACCCTCCCTGGTGCATCAGGTCAAATCCGCTGCACAAGAACTAGGTGGATACCATGTGTAAGGAATGCGTAATTCCTTACTGAGGCTTGCTACAGGGCGTACGACTCGAACAGTCCCGAACCAGCGATAGGGTTCCAGACCTTTCAGTTCGAGCCTCCTCGGCCTTTCCGGACCTCGCTACGACACATCGAGGCCCTTCGAGACTTTTCCCGAACCTTCCGATCCTATGGCCAGGATCACCCTAGGCTTTCTATATATTGTATTGTCTTTCATTTTATTGTCATTCACTCGTTCACAGTTTCGCCATTGCCCTCCGCGCTACTCGGCAGTCCCATTCATAATACCATGGAGCATGCTAACCCCTTCTCATTTAAAAACAAACAGAAATCAAACAAGAAATCTATATGGGACATCAACAACAAAAATAGCTTATAGTGGCATACCAACTAGCGTTCTAAACGTATTATATTGTATTCCCTCGTATGAAACACCCTATGATGGCAAGAAAAATTATGTAAATTTTGCAAGAGGTATAGTTAATGGCACGTTTGGTATAACGCATAGGAGTTTCGCAATGTGCTCTTTCTTTTTATGCAATCAAGTATGCAAGTACGCAACCTTATCCTAAGCCAGAATTTGTTGTTTCTCGTGCGGATGTGAGGAGGATATAGGAGGAACTTGTGTTTGGTTGTGGAGAAGAGACTTCACAATATTTTTTGTAGGAATGCCTCTAAGGGGGTGAGGGGGGGGGGGAGGGAGGGAGGGGGGGGGAATTCGTTGAATTTTCTTAGGTGCGAGGGGTGTGTGTGGTATGTCTCTCGTTGTTGATGACTTGCCACATTTGTCTTTGTTTGGGTGGGGGTGTGGGAGGAATGCCTCTAATATTTTAGGACTTCTTCATAATTTTCAATCGAAAGAGGAAGAGGACGGAGGGGGGTAAAGAGGGGAGAGAGGGGGGGGGGGAGAGAAAAGGGGGATGTGGGCGGGGAGAGGTTTGCCAAGTTTTGGGGCATGCTTAGGCCCCGTTACGAAAAATCAGGGGGAAAGCCTTAGCTGTGTACTTAACATATCCATCAAAGCACCAAACAACACCCTTAACCGCTACAGGCTAGCCCCGAATCAAAACCTTTAAAGTCAGACCCTGTAGAAGAGTTAACATTGAATATTTATGGCATTAAGGAGGGATGTGTACAGAAACCTTGAACCTTAACTCGTCAGCCCGAAGATTTATGCACATATTGAGGTTGTCAAACTATATACCGTGAGCACCCGGATATAGGTGCAGCCATTTATTAAGCCCAGCAGGCTTATAGAGTGCAAACGAGCTTATATATGTTATTTCATTATAAGCACACATTTTTTTTAGAAAATATATACCATATAAGCGCATTGAATTACTATTAAAAAGCAAGTGAGTTGCGAAACTTCCATATCGAAAACTCTGCGCCAAATCTCTCGCAGCACTCTCGCACCCCTCCCAAGCACCTCGCCAGCCAGATTCCTGCTTTTCCCGATCATTGTTTTGCCTATGATTGGTCTATACCCTGCCTTCCTAGCATAGTTGTGCTGGCGAAACTTTCGCCAGATATTCCGCGCGATATTTATGCGTGTCCCCTTTTGAAGACAATTGTATCAGAACCCAAATCAATCCAGCTACATTTTGGTGTGTTCAAATCATTTTTCCATACAGTCATTTGTATTAGCGTATGGGTTTATATTATTTATTCGATTACAAGCACATGCTGCTTATTGAATATAATCCCTATAAGCATATATGTGTCTATATCAGGGGATTATGGTATTTAAATATATCTTTGTGTAGGCTTGGTAGTTATGCTACTTACTGAATCCTACTATAGAGAGGGCAACCAACCCTCCCCCCTCTTCTTGTATCTCCTTCTCTTCTAGTCCAACTCCCTTTTCTCTTGCCAACTTCTCCTCATTCTCGTAACTCTCGCCTCCTAGCTAAGCCTCTAGCAATTTTCATGGCGTCCCACCTAGCTACCTTCTAGCAACCTCACGACATATTTTGATATGGAATCAGAGCAGGTTCAATATGCTGGACCTTCTTCTCGCTTCCGCTGTGCACTCCTCTCTCTCTCTCTCTCTCTCTCTCTCTCTCTCTCTCTCTCTCTCTCTCTCTCTCTCTCTCTCTCTCTCTCTCTCTCTCTCTCTCTCTCTCTCTCTCTCTCTCTCGCTGCCATGGCGGCCGCGTCGTGCTGCTGTGGCGGCGTCGTCGTGCCGCCGGCCGCGTCGTGCTGCCGCGGCGGTCTCGACGCGCTGCCATGGCAGCCTCGTAGTGCTGTCGCGGCGGCATCAATGCGCCAACGCACGAGCGGCAGCGAACCGCGCACCGTATTAGCCACGTCCAGCCCGCCCGCACGCTAGTAAGCGACGCGTCAGCCATAGCGCCCCGCTGAAGATCCGCCTCCCACCTCTTCCCCTTTCCCCTTCTCTACATTTCCCCTTCTCCCCGCCGCAACTGCTGGCGACCTCGTGTCGTCCTCCCCCTCGTCGTCACAGGTTGGGCCACGCCGCCGAGTGCTGCGCTACCGCCGCCGTTGTCATCGAAGTCGTCGCTGCCGCAGCTAGCGCCGTTAGCCTCGCTGCCGCACGCCATCGCCGCCGCCGCTGTCGTCGTCGCCGTTGCAGCCCCTGCCCTCGCTGCCGACGTCGCCACCTCGCTTGCCGAGGGTTCGACCGACTGGTCGACGCCACTGCTCGTGCAATGGATGGGGGTGCAAGGATGTGGGGGTGTTGCGGGTGGGATGGGCTTGTCATTACCAAGCCTAGGGGGTGTGTTAAAGTATATATTTATATATATATTTGTGTAGACTTGGTAGTTGTGCTACTTACTGAATCCTACTGTAGAAGGGACAGCCCCCCCTTCTTGTATCTCCTTCTCTTCTAGTCCAACTTCCATCTCTCTCGCCAACTTATTCTCCCTCTCCTTACTCGCGCCTCCTAGCTAAACCACTCGTCATTTTTATGGCGTCCCACCTAGCTACCTTCTAGCAACCTCACGACCTATTTCGACAGATGTAGCTGCCGACTTTTTATCACGGAAATATTTGCATTGTTGTAAGTTGACTTAACAGTTTCTCTATGTAAGGGAATCTTGTGCTTGATACAACCTTTACAGATAATCCCAGGTGTAGAAGGTCGGAGCGAGTGAAGGTTTGAAGCACTGAACTCCCAACTACTCTTCATGTGAGAGATTCCGCACCAGTGGTGTATAGGCCATAAGGGAATACTTGTAATAACGCGCATGTTCTTCGGTCGATCCTGTCTCCGGATAACGGATTGAACCGTCGAAATATCTCCAGATACTAGAAGATTGCACAAGGAGTTCCAACTCGAATCCCCAAGTATAGAAGTCGTGGCCATCAAAGTAAACTGAGGTCTTCAGCTTGGAGAGAGATAGGAAATCTGTTTGACTTACGACTGCTTATGCAACAAATGGTATTTCTTATGTCATTTGATGTTGTTGATCTGGTTGTTGTAGCTATGGTTAAGCAGGTCGTCCACGGAAAGCAAAAGACCCAGCAGATTCAACTCCAGGGGCTGAAGGTCCAGCGGCAACAGCAACTCTTGCGTAACTAAATTTATCAAAGCTCATACAAGCTGTAGGATACGCTGGAGCTTGTTATTGTTGTTGAATAGACTGATTAGTCATCAAAGAAACGAAATCATAAATATTGTCAGTCGAAAGACCAGAAGTATGAGAATTCGTAGTTGAATTTCTCGTCTTAGCAAGTGACATAATTATAGATCTATGATTTAAGCTTAATGACGTTATCGTAATTTGCTTGTATCGGTTCCTGTAACTCCACTAGCTCAGAATACCATGTAGAAGTGAACCACGTGTTTAGGGTGGCCAGGATGTAGTGTTAGTGGAACCACGAGTAAAAGTCAGCGGAAGACTTTACACATTGTATTGGAAATGTCTTAAATAACAAGGATAATGATAATGAATAATACAAGCATATTTATTGTCTATGAAGTACCTATTTGGATGTACCTGCTCGTAATGTATCGCGGCTATTCGCGTAACATGACTAGTACTGTTCGTGTGACTGAGAGTGGCGTGACCATTCGGGTGATTATACGCGCGAACCTATTGTTCACGCGTTGACTCGCTACTGCTGACGTCATCATGCCCGTCCTTCCTTATGAGGCATCGCGCTACTAGTACAGTCTAAGTATTATATCAGGAATGCAGAAGTAAAAGCTGTCGAGTATACTTCAACATATCCGGACATTGATAATATCAGGTAGAGAAGAGATGTTGTTGGCATCCACGGTGGTTCTCCCGAATTATGAGGTGGAAATCATAAAAGAATGCATTCAATAGCTATGACATCGACACCCGGTATTCATCATCTCACACATGTAAACCCTAGTTACAATGGTACACTTTGGTACTTCAATCGCGTACCGGTACAAGACATCGAGTTGTCGGTCAGCAGGAATGCTGCAACTGGTTGGTGGGTAGAGCAGCAACTGGGCATCGCCCTTGGCATTGCTGCTGGGCTCACGTGAATTGCTGCCCACATCAGCCATTGTGCGCCGTATTTTGGTTTGTTCGAGGTGCAAAACCTCCGTCCGCACCAGACCGAGTACAGTGGAGTGTTGTGTTGTGCTTCTCAATCGATTCCTTCCCATGAAATCGCCCTGGCTTTTCTTCACACTGTTTTGCCAAAGCACCCACCCAGTTCTGGGTTTTCGTTTTTACTGTACAAAACCGTTTGTGGGCCCACCACCATTGCGTCTAGCCAGCGTTCTCCCAACCCAGCCAAGTTTTGTTCGTCTGGCGCAGCGCAGCGCAGTCACTTTTGAGTCGTCGTTTCGTGATGTGACCTCCAACCCGTGGCGGTTGTCCTTTTGTTGTCAGCTTCCCCCTATTCGTTCGCTCTAGATCCGTAATTGGTCGGCGCCACACCTATTTTTTCAATTGGGAAAATTGGGTCATCTTGGTAGTATCCCACTCCTTGGTGTGAACACTGATTGTGTTTATATATCTAAGAGCTTGTTCAAAGTCTGAGAGCGTGCTCAAAGTATCTGTGGCTCCGATGTCGGCCTTCATCCAACGTCCTGCCCTCGAAAGCCGAGTCGTTACCTTAGTGAGCTGCACTTTGAATACCCTTCCTTTAGCGAGGGTCTGTAGCACTGCAACCGTTCCTACGTTTGCCACCCAAAATTTCCAAATTCAAACTTTGAAACCCCGATTTGGAAACACATGTGCGAAGTCGCGAAGACGAAATGCGTAGCGAAAAATCCTAATTCGCTTTCGCCATATTGGCGACAAACACTCGTGAAGGAGGGGGTGTTTGGCGCGGGTGAGTCAACGTTCGCGTGGCCGCCCAAAGTTTCGCGGGCTTGCCCGTGAAACGTGTTCGTTATTCAGCGTCAGTTTGCTCTTGGGTTTGGGGCTCGACGTCGGCTACTTTGAACGCTGACGATAGTGTATTCGGCTTCTTAGCATGCCCGACGTCGGATTTACTCCGACGTCTGGTTACTTTGAACACGCTCTAAGGCTTCGATTGGTAGTATCCCACCCCTTCGTGCCTACGCCTTTTACACAATTGGGACCTCACACCGCACACGGGTGTCGAGAAAATAGAATTATAATTGGAAAGCCATGGTCGAAAACACATAAGGGCATTCCTTACGGAATCAACATTGTGTTTGTCGCCCACCCTCTTGCCTTTTACCAGCCAATCAACTCGCTTCGCTCGCATTCCTTCCATTCATCTACGACGGCGTCCAGCCGATGACGCGAAACTGAGGGGAAAGGCTCAGGAGGGCAGGGCAGGCGAATGCGCGCGATTGGGGGGATGCATCAATGTGCGCCGCGCTGCGCTGCGTGGCTCTGGTTTTGGGTCAGGCCTGGCTGGGTTGATCACGTGATCGGCGAGAGCAGAGCAACATTTGCTTCACTCCCTCCGTTTCATGTGCAGAACTGCGCTGCTCTGTGCCCTGCCTCTGCATTCGTCCCAACAGCAGGTAAGGGCGCGGTACACGACCCCGTTTTTGGGGTTTGCGGCCAAAAGCTGGTCCTCACGGTTGGGCAGCCAGGGCCGACCCTGATTTGGAGGCTTGGGGGTTTCCCGCAACCCTCATGTTCCAGTAGCAGGCAATCCTCACCCTAGAGGCAAATTTGCCCCAGGATTGCATGCGGTTGGTGCTGCCAAAATTTTCACATTGCATCGCAACCCTGGGGATGGGATGCCGCTGTCTGTGGTACATCGCGCTGCCAGCACGGAAGTTTGCCTCCGCGAACCTTGCCTCGAACCCGACCTTGGGGGCCATGTACCCCGCCCTATCCACCACTAGCCACACCCACGGTGAAGGCCAAGCCTGTTCAAGTCAAGCATGTACCTGAAGATCCTTTGAGGATGCGACAGATAGCTCGAATTCGCGACTAGACTCGAGAGCGAATACGGTCAGCCATAGATAGGCGCAGCAGGTGTGCACCTCCCAACGTCATTTGGCTAGGAAGTATAGTGTCTGCGCAAATATCTGGCGGTCTGAAGGAATTGAAGTAATTATGTCATGGACCCGCTCGTTCCTCGCAGCCTCGCTCCTGCCGATCATCTTCACCATCACGAATGTTAGCCAGGATTAGGCGCGTCGTACGATGTGAGGAATGCGTATCTGCACGCGCATCTGTACCCATGTCTCCCTTCTCTCGAGCATCCCTTACCGCCCATGGGCCCCTAAACGAAATTGTTCCTCTCCTGGAGCCGCGTCGCTGGAACGCCTCTCATGTCGCCTAGTCGCCGCACCCTCGCATCCAATCAGCGCACAGCAGCAGCAGAGGAGCGGCGCTCGTCACCCCAGGGGCGCACACCCGCGGACGAATTGGAATTCTCGAGCGGACTCATCCCCTTCGAACACGGCGGAAGCGGCGCGAGCGCAGCGGCATGTGCGGCGAGTGAAGCGGTGGTTCACGCGGCGATGGCATCCCGTGCCGCAGCAGTGGACGTGCAGCGTCGCATGGCCGCCCCGAGATTTTTGTCCGGCTCGCGAAGCGGCGACGCGGCGAGTCTAAATTCGGAAACTCTCGCCTTCCTCCTCGCAAATCCCGCTGCTGCTCTGGCGGCGCTGTCGCACACGTCGCCCAGCGCGCAGCTCCCGAGAACTCTGTCGCACAATATGCACTTTGGCGGCGCGGCTCCATCGGCATTGCCGAATCCGCAAGCGACTCGACAGGCTTCACTTTCCGCAGCGGAACCATTGGGCCACGTGGCGACTCCGAGTCGGTCATGGCTCTCGCAACAAACCGCAATTTACGGCGCAGGTAGCGGCGCGGTTAACGGTAGCGGCGATCGGATGACGCCTTCCGCATCCAACGGCATCGCCGCAGCGGCGTCGGCGCTGAACAACAACTCCCGGCAAACCGTTGACCTGCGCGCCGCTAATCGCGCCGTTGACCGCGCCGCTGACTGGGTGGGCTGCGACGTGCCGGCGCTGTCGCACCTGCTGCTGCTGGAGCAGATGCGGCAGATGCAGCAGACGGAACAGCGAAGCAAGGCCACCACCGACGCCGCAAGACGCGGCGAGGCAAGAGGCGGCAGCAGTGAGCGAGCACGCTTCTCCGGGAGCGGCGCGTGGGTTAATGGTGGCGGCGGCGGCGGTGGTGGCGGTGGTGGTGGTGGTGGTGGTGGTGGTGGTGGCGGTGGTGGTGGCGGTGGCGAGACTAACATTGAGTCCGCGATGTGGGGGGTGAGCGGGAGCGAGGGGGAGCACGCGGCGGGTGCGCAAAGCCCCATGGCGGCGAAAGTGGCTCTGCTGGCGCAGCTTCAAAGCGCGCACGACTCGCTCCCCCGCCCCGCCTTCCTGTCGCCCAGCGCACCGCGTGCGACCCCCCCCGGCGGCGACGCGCCATGGTGGGCCGCCGCGCTGGAGTCTCCGGCTTTCGCGCTCGGGGGGGCAGCACCTAATACGGGACCGCGCGCGTGTGGCGGCGGGAGTGGCGGGCTGCATGAAGCGGTTGCGGCGCAGCTGCAGCAGCTGCAGCGGGAGGAGCGGCGCGAGGAGCGGCGAGAGGGGGCCCAGCGAGAGGAAGGTGAGCGGCGGGAAGCGCGGACTAGTGACTTGGCGATGATCCACCGCGCCGCGAACGAGGCGCAGACAGCCGCTCATGACGACACGTGCTCTCCACACGCGACGCCGTTCCCGCTTCTATCGTTAGCACCCGAATTCGAGGATTTCCGCGGGCAGGGAAGGTCGGGAGGACTGAGCGGGGGAGGCGGCAACAGTGGCCGCCCCGCAGCGGGCCATAATCGCAGGGACGGCGGCGCGAGTGAGTCGTCCGACCGAGACAGTAACAGAAGTGCGTATCGCAGCCTCGAGTCGTTGTCCAGGAGACATACTCCGACCGCTGTAGCGGCACTGCAGCCCGTAGGCGGTATCGCGGGAAGCAATAGCAGGGATGGGATCGGGAGCAAGGGGCGGCAGCAGCAGTACGTGTTGAGTCCGTGCAGCGGCCGGAGTGCAAGCGAGCAGCGCTTCCAAGGCACGGACGGAAGGAGCAGGAGCGGCGGGGCCATGGCTCCTCCGGCTCGCCCCGCGTCTGCAGCCGCCGCCAGTGGCGCAGGTGCAACCGTTGGCGGCGCTGCAGCCGCTGCTGGTGCTGCGCCCGGCGGCGATGATAATGTGGCTCGGGCAGGCGAAAGCACGCAGGGGGCAGCAGCCACTTTGCAGGCGCCACGTGGCAGCAAGTCGAGGAGCGTTGGTCAGATGCAGGCGGCTCAGATTCTGCAGGCGTTGGAGCACGGGGCGCGGGAGAGGGTGAAGCGGCGGCGCACGCAAGAGAGGCAGATGCAGCAGCTGCAGGAGGAAGAGCAACTCAAGGGTGGTCATCCGGGGTGTGCGCCATTGACTTCTCCAAACTCCGTCTCTTCAACCCCCTCCTTCGCACCAACTCCCACGCGTGCAGCAACCTTCACAGTGCCCCATGCCCCACCCCATGCTGCACATACGCCCCTTGCACCCATGGCATCGGGCCATGCCCCCCATGCAACCGCGGCAGAGGCGCGGGGAGCGGCGCAGCGGCGCAGCGGGAGCGAGGCGGAGCGGCAGCGACAGGGGGAGAGGGTGGCGTGTGAGTGGGGCGAGAGAGGCCAGCGCAGCCACAGCGAGGCGGAGAAGCGGCGGCGCGAGCGCATCAACCAGCAGCTGAACGTGCTGCGCGTGCTGCTGCCAGGCGCGGACATGGGGAGGGCGGACAAGGCGAGTGTGCTGGCGGAGGCAGTGGCGCAGCTGAGGGCGCTGAGGGCAGGCTTGGGGAGGAGACGCGGGGGGAGGGGAGAGGGGGGGAATGGGGCAGATGGGGAGCAGCACGGGACAGGAGAGCAGGAGGGAGCAGAAGGGGTGGCAAGGGAGGTGCAGGGGGGAGAGGGCGAGGCAGAGGAGGGAGAGGGAGCAGAGGGAGCAGAGGGGGCAGAGGGAGCAGAGGGAGCAGAGGGGGCAGAGGGAGCAGGGGGGCTGGTTGCATCCTGCCTGCTGGCGCATGGCAGGGCGCCTGAGGCCACTCCGAGGGAGGACGATGGGGTGGAGGTAGATCTGGTGTGGGTGGATGTGGAGGATGAGGAGGGGGAGGGGGACGGGGAGGAGGAGGAGCAGGAAGAGACAGGCAGGGAGAATGGGGAGGGGCTGACAGGGCGGAAGAGGAGGAGAGGGAGTGAGGGAGAAAGGGCGGTGTGTGTGTGCATATGGTGCGAGGACGGTGCTGGGCTGCTCCCTGCCATCAAGGCGGCCATCAAGGTGCGGCTCTGACCAAGCATGAATGCATGGACTACCTTCCCCTAACGTCTACCGATGTCCTTGAGCCAAGTCTCCCTGCACCTCTGCTGTCTCTCCTTCCTTCTCTCGTCAATCCTGTTCCGCTCACTCACCCTGGGCCTCCTCTCTCCCCTTCCGCCCCCTCCCTCCCCTACCACCCTACAGCCCTTCCCTCTCTGCCTCGTCAGCATCGAGTCGGCTTCCTGTGCTTCACGTGCCGCCCACGTGCTGCTGCTGCTTCATGCCTGCCCCGCCCCTATGACTGCTGCTGCTGACAGCGACCCTGCTGCCTCGGCCCCATCTGCTCCCAATGCTGCTGATTCCAAGTACGCAGCTGCTACTTGGCTTCCTAAAGACGGTGCATCAGCAGCAGCACCGGCAGGAATGTGCGACGGTGGAGAGGATGCATCACAGGCAGCAGCATGTGAGGAGGCTCAGGTGGGCCAGTATGTGAGTGAGGTGCGGGCAGCGGTGGTGAATGTGATGACGCGATGGAGAAGAGGGGAGATGGCTAGTGAGGATGGGCAGGAGGCGACCTAAGGCGTGTGAGTACACGGATGGAGTATGTGGGTTGGGCCTTCGTGAGAGAGGGCGGGTCAGGGCAGAGGTCAAGCCCCTGGCGGACTGGGGGAAGTACTTGCATGGGAGGAGAGGAGTGTCACGGCAACAGAAAGCTTGAAAGGTTCGCAGCCAGCTCAGTGAAAGTTCCAAGGAATTATTCGCGGCAAATTGGCACCATTCATTTCATTCATTCCTTCATTCGTTCATTTGTGCCGCAGCATATTATTGCTGCTGCTTGTCGTCATAGTTACCCATTCTGTTAGTTCATATTGTCATTGTTTTGCCTATTATTTAATTGTCTGCATTGCTAACACTGCCTTATCCATACTGTCCACAATGTCTACATTAAATGGGCGTCCTTATTGCAACACTGGCAATACAAATCGGCACACGTCACTAGGATCAACTAGTCAACAGGGTAGAAGCTCTTCCAGAGACTTCCAGGCTTCCATTCTAGGGCTTGGCTCAAGTGTTAAGAAATTTCTGCCACCAAAACGCTGATGCCTTGGGATACCGGGGAAGATATGGATTAGAGTAGTCTACAAAGACAATGCCGAATCGCTCCAAGAAGCCACGGGCCCATTCCCAATTGTCCAGTAGAGACCACGCATAGTACCCCTGAACATTTGCTCCATCCCTGCAGCATTGACATAGGAAAGGACTTAGTGTGACAATCTCCATGGAACCACGAGAGCCTAGAGAGGGCAGAGCAGATGTGCTAACCCTTTGGCCTTGAGGACGTTGCTGAGGTAGTCCCTGTAGAAGTTGAGGCGCTGGTTGTCACAAAGAGCAGTCTCCAGCGGAATTGCAGGGTCATTGACATCACTCGAGCCTGAAACACAAGCACATGGTTATGCTGAACCCAGTGCAAACTAGTATGACAGAAGCAACCAAAGGCAACCAATCCTTACCGTTCTCAGTGATCATAATCGGAAACCCGTTGTAACGCTTTGTGATCCACATCAACATTCCATACATGCCTTCGGGAACCACCTTCAGCCAAAATGAGCCAGTCTGCGGGACAAGAGGGAAAGGAAGAATGAGATTCAAGTGTCTTCAAGACAAGAGCTTAAGGTAGGACGAAGTAAAGGAAGGGTGTTATGACAGCTTACTGATGCACCAATTTCTTGACCAGTCAGGGGGTTGATGCTTGACGTCACCACTTGGCTGTCACTCCAAGCTGTCCCAGGAGAGGTGGCAGAACCTTGCCATACATACAACGCAGTGTAGAAGTTGAGCCCAAAGAAGTCTGCCGAACCAATGAGCTGTTGCCTTTCGGCAGCTGAGAACTGTGGTAGCCGGTCACCAACGAGAGTTCTCATGGACTGTGGGTAGTCTCCATAGTAAACCGGGTCAGCGAACCTGAAGTCACCAAGTTAACAGTGTTAGCTATGGCACCACAGAGGTTAAACTGCACGTGGAAGCCAAGAAGCATACCATCCATATGAGAACTCAAGAGCTCGGTTTGCTGCTGTAGTGTTCTCCTCTGACTGATCAACAGGGAAGTAAAACTGCGAGTCAAGTGTGATGCCAACGCGGCCTTGCTGCTGCTTCTGCAGATGACAAGAGCATGGGACGACGTTAGTTACTAAGCGAAAATGAGAGTGCGGAAGTGAGCAGAGAGGAGCAGCGATTACTGACCTGGTGGTTGGCTCTGTAAGACGCAACAGCAGAAGCGTGAGACCTCAGAATATTATGAGCAACAAGGTATGACTCCACCGCAGAATCTCCTTCTTGGCACTTTTCTCTGTCAGAGCATCTTCCTGGGGCCATTCCTCCTGTCCCATACCCCTACACAGGAAAATAATTTGGTTTAGATGTAAACAGAACAGTGATTTGGCTCAGATGTCTTCAGTTGAAGCTCTACAGAGACGAAAGGCCGTCACACACCTGAATCGAAGTTTCCATGGGTTCGTTGAAAGTGACCCACGTCTTGACGTCATCACCAAACGCCTCAAAGCAAACTTCCGCATAGTTTGTGAACGCCTCGCTGCTCATTGCTCACATGAAGCAAAACCAATCTTTTGAATGCCTGCGATGCATCTGAAAAAAAATCTTACACTATAGAAGCATTTAGCCAACCACCCCAGTTCACGTGAAGATACTCGGGCAGGTCCCAGTGGTACAGAGTCACTGCCGGCTCAATGCCTGCCAATGAACAATACGGCATGGTTTAGATTATAAGGAGCTACCACATCGAGATTGCAAAGAGCACGACATGTACCTGCTGCCTTGAGTGCCGCAATAACAGCTTTGTAATGGTTCACACCTTCCTCATTGACCTCACCGATGCCTCCTGCCACAAGAAAAACGCATCAAAACTCTGTACCACGTGAACAGCGAGACAAACAATATAACGAAAGTTCACGGTACCTGGCAAGATCCTGGACCACGAGAGCGATAAGCGGTAGGACGTGACGCCCAGTTCTTTCATTATATTAATGTCCTCCTGCATTAGAGACCAGTGTTAGTTACAACAAATTTTGAGCGGTTGAGTGACGCCATTAAGTAGTTAGAGGAAAGGTACCAGGTATTTGTGGTATTGATCGGTTGTAACGTTGGGTAGCGAAGAATCCGCGATATTTCCTGCAAAATTCAACGATGTTAAGCAGAAGACCGGGCACTGCTATAGAGCAGTTTACTGGTTAGTCATCGTACCCGGAACTGCAGCGAACACGTCCCAAATGCTGGGCCCTCGACCTCCCTCCAGCGGCGCTCCCTCGACCTGGAATTCAAGGATGTTAGGCTCCGAGATGACCTTTACTGAAAGAGCTAGCTTAAAAAGCAAGGTACCAACCTGAGTGGCGCTTGTCGCTACGCCAAAGATGAAGCCTTCTCCAAAGTCGCTTCTTTGGAGGACGTTGTCATCATAGAATGCCGAGCAGTTCTGAATTGTGGAACAGAGTCAGAAAGAACAACATTACGGAAGGGATGGCAGCATTCCCGTAGCATGGAAAGCACTTACGGAAAGAAACTTGGAGCTGAGAACCCAGCTACTATCAGTTTGGGCAGACACCATAGCTGTACTGATCAGTACAACAATTAATGCTCCAGCCCTTTGGGCCAGGAAAGTCGTAGCTGCCATAGTGAAGGGATTGGAAGCCAGAGTCCTAGAGAAAGGGCGAGCTTTGAGAGAAGTCTTGGAGAATCTGCTCTGCCTGCGCGTATATGTACGACGCCAGGAAGAGTGTCCAATCGCAGCGAGATCGCCTGGCGACACCGCACCACCCTGTTCCCAAAAGGCGTGGAAGAATCAAGGTTGAAATCCAGCAAGATAAGGAGGGAACCAAGCCCCAAGGGTCTTCCGAATAGCGCGAAGGTCTCTCGAAAGTCTCGACTGGGGATGACATCGAGATAAATGTAAAAGAGAATAAATTATAATTTGTTTTGCATCCTACAGACAAGCCTCGATGGCGCAGTCGGTAGCGCGTAGGTCTCATAGCAATCCGACTCCCAATTCGTTGGGCGGAGCCATCCTAAGGTCGTGAGTTCGATCCTCACTCGGGGCAGTATTTTTCTCCATCTGCTTCGGCACATATCCCGGTGGGATTGGTTTTCCTTCCAAAACAGCGAACCGCCAATCGTTGACAGAAAATTGTTCAGACGCGCGCGCGCGATTCGGGATTTCACAGAGAGAAATGACAGAGGGTGTGTCTGCTTCTGGGATTTTTCCACGAGCGTGGCGAACAACGATCCCTCCAAGCCCTCCTTCACGAAAGTGATTGTCACAGATCCCAAGGCTGAACCCAAGGCACACCTTCAGCCTTCTTTTTCCTAGTCACTGGCGGATATCTCGAGTGAGCCCATCCACGTCAGGTAGTTGCCATACCGCACCATGGCCGTGCTCTCGTGCACAGATGGAGTAGGATAACCTCTAGATACCAAAATAAGAGCACGCGATTCTGTTTAGGGTACAATATTCGTCAGGTAGCGCAGTTTCCTACTCTCATATTTCCGCGTGACAGGGAATCATGCAACCGACAGGGGGCAAGGGCCGCCGAGGCCAGAAGACATGTAATTTTCCTTTACCCCAGCCGTAGTCACAGAATCTTCTACTAGAACGTCTTCCGCTTCGTGGGCCCTAGAATCTTTTATGTCGTCTAGTTTCCCAGCTTCTCCTAGTAAGCCATTTAGCAGATCCGCGCTGGTTTTAGATTCCTCGGGCACAGCCCTAAGCTACCATGGCTTCCGCGGCAATCTCCGTTGCGTGTTCCTTCCCTCCCGGCTCGCAGGGTCCTTCACGGCTCATTCGTCGAGCGTGAATTGCATAAGCATCGGGAGGAAGTCAGCGGAGAGGTTTATAACGGGCGGCGACGATAAGAAGCTGCATCTATGGTCCACCCGCCAGCGGGCGCCGCTGCTGGTAGGTTCCGCCGAAAGCTTAGCAAGAAGCTGATGATATGTTTGTTTCATGGACAGCCTTTTCGCCCTACGACGCCGCCACGCCATGGCTCGACGGCACTCCACGCTGTTCCAACTCCTTCCCCCCGCCTTCCCTCCTTCCCTCTGGCACTCCCTTCCCGTGGTGTTCCACCGCCGCCGCCCGAGCGTCGTACCGCGCTTGCGACGGGGAGCGAGCAAGGAGGGGAGGAATTCTTACCCCTTCCTCCTGCCCCGCATCTATCCGGCCGTTCAACCCCCTGTCGCAGTCCCTGCGCGGCAACACGAGCGCCATCCAGAGCGTGCTGCTGGACGCCAGCGAGGAGCTCGCCGTAGCTGGGGGAGCCGCTGGCGCCGTCAAGCTCTGGGATCTGGTGGAGGGGAAAGGTGAGAGAGGGGTGCGCGGTGGAGGAGTGGGGAGAGAGAGAGACACCAACGACTGCAAAAGCCATATCCAGTCTTACCGTCTGCCTTCCCATTCCCGCCACCCCTTCCCCCCATCTCCCCCCGCGCCCCCCAGCCATCCGCACGATGACGGGCCACAAGGCCGCGCCCGTCGCGCTCGACCTGTACTCCTCGGGCGGCCTCTGCGCGTCGCTCAGCCCCGCGGACGGCACCGCGCGCGTGTGGGACCCGCGCCAGAAGGACGCCGCGCACGTCTTCCGCGGAATGGGCGCGGGGGACGCGGGGGATGGCGGCGGAGCAGCGGACGGGGGAGGAGCGGATGGGAGGGGAGCGGGAGCGGGGGGAGGAACGGAAGTTGGGGGGGTGAAGGGCGGGAGAGGCGTGGGGTGTGTGCGGTTCAGTCCGGATGGGCGGTGGGTGGTGGCGGGAGGGCAGGACGGACGCATCAAGGTGAGACGCGCGCTGGACGGGAAGACGGAGGCATCCAAGTGAGAGCGAGGGCTAGCAGCGGCTATGCGTAGAGCGCGTGCGAGTGTAAGGCGTGACGCAACATGGTCCGTGCCATCCGTAGGGTTCATCTCAACCATTCGCGCGTCCGCACCGCATACATCCTTCTCTCCGCTCTTACCCCCCCCCCCCCGGGTCCTCTCCCCCCGCTCTCCTATCCCGCCGTCCGCAGCTGTTCGACTTGGCGCAGGGCCGGCTGTTCAAGCAGCTAGCCGGCCACACGGACGCCGTGAGCGCGCTCGACTTCCACCCGCAGGAGCTGCTAATGGCGTCGGCGGCGCGCGACCGCACGGTGCGGTGGTGGGACCTGGAGTCGTTCGACTGCGTGGACTGCACCGCGCCCGATATGCCCGGCACCCGGGCCATCGCCTTCGCGCCCCAGGGGGATGCGCTCTTCGCGCCCTGCACGGACCACCTCAAGGCAAGCACGCAGTAGCGCAACGCAAGCACTAACCAGCTGCAGCTCTCGCGTGTAGTCCCTTCCCTTGCAGCTGCTCGCGATGACTTTAGAGTCTAGGGTTTCGCCCATCTCGCAAGCACTCACCAGCTGCAACACCCGCTTGCTGCCCCTTCCCTTCCACCTGCTCGCCTGCTCATCGCCTTGGACCATTTCTTTTTCTGATCGACTAAATCGCACCCCGCCTGCCTCCCGATCCACCCCGCTGCTGCTGCCCGCGTGCAGGTGTGGGGCTGGGAGCCCGTCAGGTGCTTCGACTCTGTCCACGTGGGATGGCCAAGGGTCGCTGACGTCAGCGTGAATGAGACCTCCCTGCTGGCTGTCGCTGCATCCGTCACCGTTGTCACTCTCTGGACCGTTGATCTTGAGGTGAGCGATCTAGACCATTGATTTTGACCTGAGTCTAAGGGACTGCTGATCGTGAGGTGAGGCATCACCGCCATACCTGCCCCACTTGCCACACTCCTGCCGTAACTCTCATGCCTCCCATGCCACTGTGTTCACACCACGCACCCATGACGCTTATCCTTCCTGCCAGCCCAATCCCCCCCGCCCCCCCCTCCCAAGGTCCATCCCCTCCTTCCCCCCCCCCCAGCGAGTGCTGCCCTTTAGCAAGGACCCCTCGCAGTGCTTCGACGACCCCCTCCCCCTCCCCTCCCTAACCGGTTTGAGGGTCTCTCAATGCCTTCCCTCTCTTTCTCCCCCCCGCTTCCCCCCCAGCGAGTGCTGCCCTTCAGCAAGGACCCCTCGCAGTGCTTCGACGATCCTCTCCCCCTCCCCTCCCCCACGCCCCACCTCCACCGCTCCCGCAGCCCCTTCTCCGCCCTCTCCCCCTTCGCCCCCTCCCCCTCCTCCTCCGTCTTCCGCCCCTCCCCCGCGTCCCCCTCCGCCTCCCCCTGCCCCTCCCTGTCGCGCCGCAGCACCCTGAGGGGCAGCCTGGGGGGCGCAGGGGTGGGGGGGTTCGGGGGCTGGGGCAAGGTGGCGCCAGAAGGGTGCGAGAGCGACGTGGAGGGGGCGCTCTGCCAGCACCAGAGTACGTCAAGAAATACCGTTTTATATATTTCGTTTCGGAATGTGCACGCACATATGCGTGTGCTGCTCTTCATTGTGGGTTTCTCCATTTCTCCTCAAAATCATCGCAAGCAATACGCGTGCTGAATTGATTCTGCGCCTTCTCTAACCCAGTTCCCCCTGATCACCTTGCTTTTCCCCAATCCCCCACCCTCTCACCCCCCCTCATCCCACCCCCCCTCATCCCCCCCAACCACCAGAGCGCGCCACCTCTTCCTCTTCACGTGCGCGCTCCTCGTCGCTTCCGCGCTCCCTCGCGCGCCACCTCGCCCCCACCATCGCCTCGCTGCACCGCTCTCGCCGTGCACCCTCCCCCTCGCCCTCTGCAGTCGGTGAGGGGGGGAGGGAGAGCGAGCGAGAACGGGAGAGGGAGCGAGAGAGGGAGAGAGAGCGGGAGTGGGATGACAGTGTGTCGGTGGGCACGCCGAGGCGGTGTGTGCGATCGCCGCAGAGAGGGGGTGGAGGGGCGAGGAGAGGGGAGAGGGGTGGAGACAGGGGGAATGCAGCACGGTGCAGCAGCGAGGGAGGGTGGTGGGGAGACAGGGAGGGGAGGGCAGGGCGAGGGGGCATTGTGGCAGCGGTGGTGCTGGGTCGTGATGATTATAACGGTGGTGGTAATAACGGTCGCTATGGCAACGGTGGGGACACCAGCACCGATGATGAGTGCACGAGTAACAGGCTGGTCCGTGGCGGCTCTTCATCACACGCCAACGCCACCACCACCGGCCATGCAGCCTGTCGGCCCACCTCTCATGTGCGAGCAGCGTCACACACCCCTCCTCTCCTCTCCCCTCACTCCTCCTCCTCCCCTTCCCGCCACACTCACCATAATCGGGCCGGCTGTCCTGCCCGTGCTGCCACTGCTCGCATTGCACCCGCCTCTTCTACCACCCCCGTTACAGTCACACCATCCGCGGCTGCGCATGCTGCAAGTGGCAGTACCCGTACTGCTGTTGCTGCTGCTGACGGTTCTGCTGCTACTCCACCCAGAGGCGCACGCACGTCTGCAGCCGCAGTGCCATCAGCACGCACACCAGCAGCAGCAATATCCACTCCAGCCGCAGCAGCACCAGCACAAGCATCATCATCAGCTGCAGCAGCAGCATCAGCAGGGAGGGGCGCGCAGAGCGCATCATCATCGTCTGGGCGGTCGCACATAGTGGACCTGGTGTCTCGCGTGTCCGACTGGATCGGGTCGCTCTCCTCGCAGGAACCCGCAGCAGCGGGCGAGAAGAGGGCGGCAGGGAGTGGAGGAGGGGAGAGGAAGAGGGCGGAGAGGGGAGGGGGCGAGGGGAGGGCGGGAGAGAGGCGCAGAGGCAAGGCGGAGGAGGATGGGGAGGTGGAGCCAAGGAGCGGTGGTAGGGGCACCCATGTTGGGACTGTTACTGCTGGTAATGCTGGTACTGCTGGTACTGCTGGTACTGCTGGTACTGCTGGTACTGCTGGTACTGCTGGTACTGCTGGTACTGCTGGTACTGCTGCTGCAGCTGGTGCTTCTTCTGATGGTGCTGCTGTGGCTGCTGCTTCTGCTGGCAGCTCCTTTGGCAGGCTTGGGCAAACTGCGCAGCGAATGAGCTTTGGGTCAAACGGTGATGCGCATGCCAGCGCTGCTGCTGCTTCTGCTGCTGCTGCTCCTGCTGCTCCTGCTGCTCCTGCTGCTGCTGCTGTGGCAACATCTATCAACAGCACCACCACCAATGCCAATGCTAACGCCAACACCCACATCACCAGCAACGGCCATCCATCCATCCCCCCCTATGCAGCGAGTCTACGAGCCCCCTTTGCAGCCGACACACAGCTGCCCGACTCCCCACCCCCCACCTCCGGTGCGTCTGCTTCCCTCTCTGTGGGCAGCTGGGGCTTCCGATCCTCCAGCAAGGCTCGGGGGAGGCGGCAGGGCTCCCCAGCCCCAGCCCTCTCTGAGGGCAGGTCCAGCAGCATGCCGAGGCAGAACTCGCTGGTTCGGAAGCTAGGCTTGTTTGTGCCGAGGCTGCGCCCGCCCTATGCTGTGGATGATGAGGAGGTGGAGGAGGGGGAGGAGGTGGAGCAGGGGGGAATGGGGGAGATGGTGGGGATGGTGAGGAGCCAGAGTGAGAAGATTCCAGGAAGTGGGCCCCTTGTTGTGAAGCGCAATGGGGGGCTTGCTGACGTGAAGGCTTTAGCCAATCAGAAGGTAGCAGGGAATGGAGGGGTAGAGAGAAGGGAGAGGGGGGAGGAGGGGAGGAGTGTGGTGAGAAAGGGGAGGGAAGGCGTGCTGGGAGCAGCAGAGCTGGGGAGCGGCGCAGAGAGGGAGGCAGTGAAGGGCGGAGGGGTGGGGGGCGGCGAGCTGCGAGAAGCAGGGAGGGAAGGCGTTGCGGGAGGCCGCGGGGCAGCAGCGGCTGGTGGTGCTGGTGGTGGTGGTGGTATGGCAGGGGATGTGGGCAGGGGGGTAGGGAGCATGGGAGGTGGGGAGGAGAGGGTAGCTCGTGGGGCGGTGCAGAGGCGGATGGGAGGAGGGGCTGGGGACCTCATTCCCTTCTTGAGGCAGGCTGAGAGGCAGGAGCACGAGCAACAGCAGCTGCATTACCGCCAAACCCAGCAGCAGCAGCAGCACTACCACCACCCCCAGCAGCAGCAGCACCTGCAGAAGCAGCAGCAGCAGGGAGGGGGGCAGGCGGGTGAGGAGGGGGAAACGTTGCTGGCAGCAGTGGTGGGGGGCCACGAGGGGGTGGTGCGGCGGCTGGCGGGGCGCAGGGGGGCAGTGCAGCAGGTGGGCGCCATGTGGCGAGAGGGGCTGGTGCCCGACGCCCTGACGTTCCTGGCCGTGACGGCCGATGAAGGGGTGAGTGGGTGCTGAGGGGTTGAGTGGGGGTGAGTGGGTGCTGAGGGGTTGAGTGGGGGTGAGTGGGTGCTGAGGGGTTGAGTGGGGGTGAGTGGGTGCTGAGGGGTTGAGTGGGGGTGAGTGGGTGCTGAGGGGTTGAGTGGGGGTGAGTGGGTGCTGAGGGGTTGAGTGGGAATGAGGGGATGGGCGGGGATGGGGGGGTAAGTTCACTCACCATGGCAAGAATTGACTTTTGTTGCCTTCGCGCGGTGGACAGCAGCGCACAGCCCCACACCCCCCAGCACGCACCGCACAGGACAGCAGAATACAGCAGTGCCAGGATCTACAGACAAAAACGCCACACTCCGTGCTCTCGCTCCTTCCTTTCCACCCCCACCCCCCCAACCTCCCCCCAGGTGTTGGCGGATGTGGTATCCGCCATTGCAGCACCGGGAAGCAGTGTGGGCGGGGGAGGAGGTGTAGGTGGCCTTAGCAGCATGGAAATGGGGAGTGGGGCGAGTGCAGCCGTGAGGTGCCTGGGTGTGGACGGCTGTGCCGCCCTGGTGCCCATTCTGGGCCGCCTGCTAGACAGTTCTCACTCCAGCCACGTGCATGCCGCCCTCTCGCTCCTGCGCGCCCTGCTCCGCTGCTACAGTGACAGCATCACCGCCGCCCGCTCTGCTGCTCATTCTCCTGGCGTGGACCTGCACATGGAAATGAGGTGAGGGGAGGCGAGGGGAGGGGAGGAAAGGAAAGAGGGGATGAGAAAATGCGGGAGAGAAGATGCTTGGAGGTGGGTTGGATGGGAGGTGATGTGACAGGGGATGGCATGCTCGTTTCAAGGGGCTGGGCTGGGTGAACCGACGTGGATGTGAGGTCAGTAGCCGCTTCACTTGCCCTCACGAGTCTCAAGCACTGCCGCTCTGAACCTCACCCAACCGCACTCGTGCTGTGAGTGAGGTGGGTTCCCACATTAGCTGCCCGTGCGCTGGCACTCCATACCCTTCCGACTCCAGCATGTTTCGTTGCTTTCTTCCTTCCACATTCTTCTCACTCGCAGAAATCTCCCTTCTCTCCTCATCCCTTGCCTGCAGGCTGCAGCGCTGCTGCGAGTGCTTTGAGGCCTTCCAGGAGGTCGCCCCCATCCTGCACCCTCTCCTGCAATGGTCAGCCCCATGCCCTCACGCCATTGCCCCCACGCTTACCCAGACCACCAGAGTCACCCAAACAACCACAAACAATATTTTCTTCAATCATGCACCTCTGTATCAAAAACACTGTTCCATGCAAACTGTGTTCTTTCTCATCCCCTCAACCTCCTACCCCCCTCCTCCCCCCCTTCTCCCCCCCCCCCTCTCCTTGCCCTCGTGTGTCCAGCGGGGAGAATCGCTCGCTCGCAACGGAAGTGCACATGCTCGTCAGCCGCCTCTCCTGATGCTCGCTGCCTTGGTTTTGAGCCGTCTCAAAAGAAGTACTCGCTTGCAACCCAAGTGCACATGCTCTATCAGCGGATAGTACCGTTTAGCACACCAGTAACCCGTAACAGACTGCTGCGTTGCTACCCAGGGTCTATCAGCCAGCAAGCTGGTTCAGACTGCCCCCACCTGCACATTCTATCAGCAGATGGTTGCCATGCCCCAATGTGTTTGCCGAGTAAGGAGCCTTCTTGGAATAGAAGTCATGTGATGTGCCCTTATGGATTGAAGGCTGTGTAGCCTGCTGTGTTACGGTAAGTCTCTGCATGTGGGTTTAACATGCCCGAGGCAGCCCTGGCCTGTCCACTCCAATGTAGTGATGATGACACCCCACTGCAGCCATACCAAATCATGCTTGGGTACTCTCGGCTCGGCTGCTACACGTCTGCCAAATTTGAAGTAAACCAACTGCGTGGACTTCAACATGCCCTGCCTGGCTGACAGCAACATTTGCTTCTGCTGCCCGCTGTAACATCCAGTGGCGCCCAACCAACAAGCTTCACGTAGGGATCAAGCTTTTGCTAACCGACATTCAACACATGCGACCATATCGCTGCAAGCTGCTGCAGACTTCTTCTCTTAGAGCAGGCTTCATCAACACATTGTCCAAGGGCCCGTTGTGCTCACAACACAACATGGTGCGCCTTCCCCACGCTGGTTTATCTTGCCAACTGCCTAATAAAGCATGTTAACCGAGTTTCAGTGCGTACTTCCTAAGCATCATCAGGATGCAATAGTATGGCAGGTTAGTTGCACCATCAGCAGCTGTTAGTGGGAGACCCCACAAGCAATAAGCCCCAACTCATCTAAGATTAACCTTATCCGAGCACCTCCTGGCTGGTACTGCGTTGCGAGCACGGACACATGATTCACCATCAACACAACCTTTATTTCTGAAATATAGCGCGAGTACATCAATTATGGCTACGGCTATGTCAGTTGTCGCTTCGTCTACTCCTGTGATTGCCGACCGCTACTGGCCCCATTCCTGATTCACCATCTCCTCTATTGCATCTTGGCAGCCTCGAGTGGTTTCCGTATAACGGCTCTTACGCCTTGAACGACTTCGACGCGCCCTCCGCGGTGCTCTTGGCGCCCGCCAGCAGCGCGAGCACCTTCTTATCGTTAACGGGGTCGAGCATAACGGAGACGCCGTCGATGGTGGAAACGGCGTTGGTGATCTGCCCCGCGACGAGCGTGCGCTGCCCCTCGTCAATGAGGATCCCCGCGTTCGTCAGCGCCTGCACCGTCGCCGTCAGGCTCGCATAGTACGTGTTCTTCGCGCCGAGGAGGTCCGCAGCCTTCTGCACGTCCGCGGCGGCGGAGGTCAGCTGCGCCTGGATCTTCTGGTCCGCCTTGCTCACCACGATCGGCGCAGACCCGCCCGTGCCTGTGCCCGCGCCCGCGTTCTTTCCGCCCTTCTTGCCCTTCTTTCCGCTGGTGGTGGGAGCGGGAGTGGCGGGATCAGTGGCCGGCGCGGGGGTGGTGGAGTTCTTGCGGTGGCCGCCCTTCTTCACCGCGGGCGAGGGGGGAGGGGGGGAAGCGGAGGAGCCGCCCTTCTTTCCGCCCTTCTTCGTCGTCGAGGGGGAGGGGGAGGGCGGGGACGGGGAAGTTGAGCTCTTCTTTCCGCCCTTCTTCGTCGGGGGCGAGGGGGAGGGGGAAGATCCGGAGTCCTTCTTCTTCCCGCTCTTGCCGCTCTTGCTCGACGTCTTGTTCGATGCCGCGGGACTGTCGGCAGGCGCCTTCGACTTCTTGGACTTCTTGCCCGTCGACGTGTCGGTAGGGGTGGTCGCGGACTTCTTGCTGCTTGTATCGGTGCTGTTCTTATCGGAGCTCTTGGACTTAAGCACGCGGCCGTGGCTGGCGGCGAAGTCGCTGCCGGCTGGAAAAAAAAAAGAGAACGGTTAGAATATATGTATGATTTCAAAACAAGTTGAAGGAACGAGCTGGCCGTGGAGAATGCAACGCACTGACAGACGCGTCGAAGGAAAGCGAAAGCGAGGCGGGAGATAGCTTAGGTTTGGATCGCAGGAATTGCATACCTTCAGCGGCAATCACATTGCTGGATCCTGCATCGTGCCACGGAGCCGCCACGAGAAGCACTCCGATCAACGCGCAGACAGCCACAATAGGCACGACGAGCTTGGCGGACGCCATTCTCCCGAAACTCAGAAGCAGATATTGACCAATAAGCTCGATCGATCGGCCTCTGGAGTGAATCCGATGGAAATGCGAGCAAGGGATGATAGGCGAAGTGGATCGGAATCGACTGAATGGAACGGAGACTGATGAATGGATAACGAAGGATGAAGCTATTATATACCCGAGGGATGGAATGTGATTCGCATCGGCACAACTGGGAGGATTGGAGTTGTGGGTGCAAGCAAACTGGCGGGGAGCAGCGGACGGGGCGGCCAGGACGGATTTGGGACGCGCGGCGCGTCGAATTCATTTGAAAGCACACCGAATCGAGGCGCGGTCAGAGATTCGAACATGCGGCTCGGATCACGAATGTAGAGCGACAGCGGCGATGGTGATTTTGCATTGGGATTGGTTGAGCTTGGCCACGACGTTCGCAAAAGGATGAAGTGCGCAGAATGGGATGCTCCTATTGGGCAGTGCCCACCCGGTTTTGGCGCAAAATCTTTGATCTGGTGAGCGGTCAATTCAAACGGCACGACCACAAGTCGGCTTTCGCTGATAAGTGGTGAAGCCCCATTCGTGTGATAGCCGTTGTAACAAGCACGATTTCTGTTTGTCCAACAACGTGACATCAGCTCTTTAGCAAAAGCAGTGTACTAGCTAGCACCATGTCCTTACATGTGAGAATAAACATGAGGAAAGACACAAAATGCATAATGCCACCGACTGCAGCAACAAATAAACATGAGTGAATCCATTACAGCTTGGTTTTTGCTTGTGGTGAAACAGAAGCACAAAAGCAGATTGTATGGAACAGCAACCTTACAAAAAAATAGGCGCAGCAGCTGTAACTGCCAGAAATAAAACGGTCTCCACTCATTCAACAAGACATGGCACCCTGGAGAAGGCCACAGCCACAGGCATGCTGCAGCACCCACACAGCCACCTGAAACTGAGGAAAATTGGCTGTGTCCTGGCCGTGCGGGCCTCTCCGGAGAGCAAGTGATGCGTTGGATTGGATGTATCGACGAGTGCGATTGCGGAGCACGAGGCACGAGGCATGGGCTGTTAGAAGCGGTAGTCTGGTGAGACGTCCATGGCCCATCCAAACTTGGCAAGGAGAGACTTGTTGAAGATCTGTGGCGGGGCGGGCAGGCAGGCAGGTGGGCAGGTGGGCAGGCGAGCAGGCGGGCAGGCGGGCAGGCAGGCAGGCAGCAGCAGTGGAGGGGTGGCACGGCAGGACAAGGGAGTTCGGGAAAGGGCGGGGTGGGGGGAGGAGAGGGGGGAAAGGAAGGCAGAGGGGGGAAAGGAAGGCAGAGGGGGGAAAGGAAGGCATGGATACTTCGAAGAGAGGAGATCCAACAAGCACCCCACAAGCACCCCACAAGCACCCCACAAACACCCCACAAGCACCCCACAAGCACCCCACAAGCACCCCAAAAGCACCCCACAAGCACCTCACAGCAGGACAGCGGCTGGTGTACGAGGGAGTGGCAACATTGGGAGGCGGCTTAGCACGCACCTTCTCGATGGGCACGTCGTGGCTTTTGCACCACTCACCTTCTCGATGGGCACGTCGTGGCGCTTGCACCACTCACCTTCTCGATCGGCACGTCGTGGCGCTTGCACCAGGCGACGGTGATGCGCGGGTCCATGTAGTTGATCTTGGACGTGCCCAGCGCGACCGTCTTCAGCTCGTCCTTGATGCTCATGTCCAGCCGCATCTTCTCCAGCCGCGCCTTCGACTGCGCTATCTTCTTCTCCAGCCTGGGTGCAGGGGGGGGAGAGAGGGGGGGGAGGGGGGGGGCGGAGTGGAGAGGGCGTTAGGGACGTAGAGGAACAACAAAGCGCCTTGGCTGGTCGTGAGCTCATCCATCATGCTCATGTCCACCGCATCTTCTCCAGCCGTGTTTTCGACTTCAGCCTGCATGCATGCGAGGGGGGAGGAGGGGGGGGCAGAGGGAGGGAAGGGAGTGGAGAGCAGAGTGAGCAGAACATAGCAAGTCGAAGCTGGCGGAATCAGAGTCATCAGAAAGAAAAACACACAACCGAGGGTACGTATGAGGAAGAGAAGGGATGGGCGGGCAGAGCAAGGGGCAGGAAGGGCGGGCAGGGACACAGCGTGCAGCGTGCAGCACTCACGCCTCGGGGTTGACCTTCCTGGCGCCCTCGCCCTCCCTCTTCACCGGCGGCCGCCCCTTGCGCGCGCGGTCCAGGTCCTCCTCCATCTCCTCCACCGCCTCCTGCCAGAGTGGGGCGGGGGGGTGGGGAGAGGGATGGAGGAGGGGAAGAAAACGGGGTTAATGCCTCGATTTAGTTCTCCTCAAATAATGTAGGCAGTGAGACAGGGAGGTGAGGGAGGGAGAGCGGAAGTGAGAGGGACAGGGAAGTGCAATCGATGCGCAGGCAATGGACTCGATGCTGGCGAACGCTGGTAGCCCAGTCGAGCAGCAATGGAAGCACGAGGGTTAAGAGCAATGCAACCTTCCATGCCCGTACCTCCAGCCCGCTCATCTTGCCCTGCAGCATCTCCATCTGCGCTGCACGCGCCTTGGACACACAGTGCTAGTGGTTGCAACAGCAGGCATGAGGAAGAGCCACACACACACGCACACAGCCCAGCGCACAGACACAGTGCACAGACACAGCGCACAGACACAGCGCACAGACACAGCGCACAGCGCACAGCGCACTCACCTCCAGCTCGGTCATCTTGGCCTGCCCGTACCTCGAGCTCGGTCATCTTGGCCTGCCCGTACCTTGAGCTCGGTCATCTTGGCCTGCCCGTACCTCGAGCTCGGTCATCTTGGCCTGCAGCTTCTCCATCTGCGCGCCGTGTGCCTTGGACACGGAGCGCTGATGGTTGCACAGAATGGCCACCTCCTTGTTGGCCCGCTGGTAGTCCGCCACCTTCTCCGCCACCACGCTGCCCACCGTGTCTTGCAGCTGGCGAAAGCGAGAGGGAGGGAAGTGAGAGGGGGGGAGCAGAGGAGAGACTCACTGATTGCCTCATACCTTTCTTGTTGGCCCGCTGGTAGTCCGCCACCTTCTCCGCCACCACGCTGCCCACCGTGTCTTGCAGCTGGTGATGGTGAGAGAGGAAGGGGGAGAGTGGAACAGACACCGGGATTGGGGGGAGGAACGTGGGCAGGAAGTCAAGGGGAGCTTCAGGGGCAAGCGGGATAGCGGCAAACATGGAGGGGCAGCGAGGTGGGCGCACTTGCCTGAGGCACTGCTCGACCTGCACTGCCAAGGAGGCAGCCCCCCGCAGCCACCACAGAAGGCACACAGCACCAAGCACACGTTTGCGTTTTGAAGTACAAAACGCTATGAGACATCGGTTTTGAGGTGCCTCAAAGCTATGAGACATCGGTTTTGAGGCGCCTCAAAGCTATGAGACATCGGACCTTGGCGGCGGTGGTGAGCCTCAGCATGATCTTCGTGACTTTTGAGTCGACTTAAAAGTCACCTTGAGACATGATCTTCTACCATCGGGCCTTGGTGGCGCGACTTAAAAGTCACCTTGAGACATGATCTTCTACCATCGGGCCTTGGTGGCGCGACTTAAAAAGTCACCTTGAGACATCGGACCTTGGTGGCGCTGAGCCCCGGCATGATCTTCTTCAGGTGCGCGCTGAGCCGATTTTTTAGTCGACTCAAAAATCGACTCATTACACACGCCACCTTGAGACATCGGACGTTGGCGGTGGTGCGCGCTGAGCCCCGGCATGATCTTCTTCAGGTGCGCGCTGAGCCGCGTGGTGTCCAGCCGGCGGGTCGAACAAAGGATGTACTCGTTATAAGCCCACTCACCAGGGTATCCAGTGTGATGGACGCATTGTAGGTACGGAACACTTTAGCCGTGAGCCCCGGCATGATCTCCTTGAGGTGCGCATTGAGCTTGGTGGTGTCAAGGCGGTCAAACAGGTCCTCGTCCTTCTTTTTGCCCTTCCTGAACCCGCCTATCGCCTTGAACACCAATGGCTCCACCTCCACTGTGTTGAAGTACCGGATCGAGTCCTTTCCCAGGAAGTCAAACTGGGGGAGAAGGGGGGGGGCGGGGAAGGGGAGAGGGGCGTGTGATGCGCTCTTGAGGAGCATATGGATAGACGCAGGATGAGTTGGCTCTTGAGAGATTCTCACAACCCCATCTCAGTCGCCCCTGCGCCCTTGAACACCAGCGGCTCCACTCCACTGTGTTGAAGTACCGGATCGAATCTTTACCCGGGAAGTCAAACTGGGGGAGACGGGGGGAGGACGGAGGGAGGAACCGGCATTGAGAGCGGCAATAGAAGGAGAATATCACCTCTGAAGAGGATAGAAGCGAATGCGGCGGCAAAATTCGCACAGCTGCAGCGAGGAGGGCGGTGCGAGGGTGAGCTGAAGTGAGAACAGGCACTGTAATAGATCATTGATAAGCATATGCTTGTACCTGCAGTGAGGAGGGTGGCACGAGAGTGACGTGTTCCACTTTGAGCGAGCAGCAGCCCACCGTGTCCGCCTCGTCGTCATCCTGGTGAGGCGTGGGAGGGAGGGAGACGGGAGGGAGGGAGACGGGAGGGAGGGAGACGGGAGGGAGGGAGACGGGAGGGAGGGAAACGGGAGGGAGGGAGACGGGAGGGAGGGAGACGGGAGGGAGGGAGACGGGAGGGAGGGAGACGGGAGGGAGGGAGACGGGAGGGAGGGAGACGGGAGGGAGGGAGACGGGAGGGAGGGAGACGGGAGGAGGGAGACGGGAGGGAGGGAGACAAGAGGGAGGGGGACGGGAGGGAGGGAGGCGGGAGGGAGGGAGACGGGAGGGAGGGAGACGGGAGGAGGGAGACGGGAGGGAGGGAGACGGGAGGGAGGGAGACGGGAGGGAGGGAGACGGGAGGGAGGGAGACAAGAGGAGGGGGACGGGAGGGAGGGAGGCGGGAGGGAGGGAGACGGGAGGGAGGGAGACGGGAGGGAGGGAGACAAGAGGGAGGGAGATGGGAGGGAGGGAGACGGGAGGGAGGAAACGGGAGGGGTATTACGGAACGTTGGAGGGAAGAGCAAAGGAGGGGCGTTCAGCCTGTCAAGGCACTGCGGCACGCGGGGCCACTGCTCTCACCATCTCCCTCCCTGCCCCATGCCTTCTCACTGCCTCTCATGCCCACGCCTATCACCATCCCACTCCCTGCCCGAAGCCTTCTCACTGCCCCCCACCTCCGCACCTTCTCACTGCCTGCTCTCAGCGCCAGCCTGTCGATGAGGTACGTGGCGGATGTGCTCGCCACACCCCCGGCCCAGCCCCTTCTCATGCCCTGCCAGTCACCACATTTGACCCATATCCCCCTCACCTTCTCGTTGCCTGCTCTCAGCGCCAGCCTGTCGATTGGGGTACGTGGCGACGGCCACCCGCCGGAACTAGTCATCAGACTCCAATCCGCACACCCGAATGTATAAACTCTCACCCTCTCATTGTCCCCACCTCCGCACCTTCTCATTCCCTGCTCTCAGTGCCAGCCTGTCGATGAGGTACGTGGCCACGGCCACCTGGCGGATCTGCTCGTCCTTGGAGGTGAAGTGCTTCGTGTACGTGGCGCGGATCTTGGTGATGTGGTCCTGGGGACGGAGAATGGGGAGATGGGGAGATGGGGAATGGGGAGATGGGGAATGGGGAGATGGGGAATGGGGAGATGGGGAATGGGGAGATGGGGAATGGGGAGATGGGGGAATGGGGAGATGGGGAATGGGGGCCGCGGGGACGAGAAGCATTGAGAGGTGCCTCAAGCCTGGTTCTTGGATGTGAAGTGCTTCGTGTACGTGGCACGGATCTTGTTGATGTGGTTCTGGGAAGGGTGGAGCAGCAGGTGGTTGGGATACAGGCAGAGATATGGGGTGTTGAGCAGTGGTCTCACGGACCCCAGCCTCGCCCTTGGAGGTGAAGTGCATTGAGTAGACACCGCGGATCTTGGCTATGCGGTCCTCAGAAGGGGCGACTGGGATATGGAGAGAGGGGGAGGGGGGTGGGAGGGAGGGAAGGCAAGCACTGCGAGGTGCCTGGAGAATCCGTTGACATGAAGTGCTTCGTGTACGGGGCGCGGATCTTGGCAATGCGGTCCTGGGAGGCGCAGGGCGCAGCAGTTGGAAGGTGAGGAGGCAGCAACGCGCCAGGCATGAGGAAGGGGCATGGGCAAGGGGCATGGGCAAGGGGCATGGGCAAGGGGCATGGGCAAGGGGCATGGGCAAGGGGCATGGGCAAGGGGCATGGGCAAGGGGCATGGGCAAGGGGCATGGGCAAGGGGCATGGGCAAGGGGCATGGGCAAGGGGCATGGGCAAGGGGCATGGGCAAGGGGGGGAGCAAGGGGCATGGGCAAGGGGCACATAAGGTGCAGATGTGGCTGCATGATGGCACGGGTACCCAAATCTCAGGGTGCAAAACCGCACTCACCTTGAGCCTGCGTGCCTTCTCGTCCTTCTCCTCGCCCGACAGCCCATCGAGGCGGCTACTGCCAACCTTGGCTCCTAAGGCAGTGCTTAAGAGCAGTCCCGACACACACAGACTCATGTTAAGCTCGCACGTCCTGCCTGTACTCACACGGACAGACTCACCTTGAGTTTGCGCGCCTTCTCGTACTTCTCCTTGTCGGAGAGCCCCTTGAGGCGGCTGCTGGGCGCGAGGAAGACATACTTGAAGTCCTTCTGGTTGATGGGGTCGAACCAGTACGCCAGCCACGTCACCGTGTTGTCGTGCCGCACCTCCTTCCACCTGCCAGCGCGTGCCAGGCACGAGGCAGGGGGAACGAGGCAGGGGGGAACGACGCAGGAGGGAAAGGGTACTGGGGTCAAACCAGTGACCCTAGACCAGTAACCCTAGACCAGTAACCCTAGACCAGTAACCCTAGACCAGTAACCCTAGACCAGTGACCCTAGACCAGTGACCCTAGACCAGTAACCCTAGACCAGTAACCCTAGACCAGTGACCCTAGACCAGTAACCCTAGACCAGTAACCCTAGACCAGTGACCCTAGACCAGTAACCCTAGACCAGTAACCCTAGACCAGTAACCCTAGACCAGTAACCCTAGACCAGTAACCCTAGACCAGTAACCCTAGACAGTAACCCTAGACCAGTAACCCTAGACCAGTAACCCTAGACCAGTATCCGAAACCCAAAACTTTGGATTGAGTTCTGCACCCAACCATCCCGGCATTCTCACTCAACTGTGTGACACATGGAGAGCAGGAGACGCACCTGTGTGACACATGGAGAGCGGGAGACGCACCTGTGGCCGGGAATGGGGCATTCAGGCACGGGCGCCTCCCTGCCGATGTTGATGACGATGTCTTCGGGCATTATCCGCCGCTTCAGCTTGCCCATCTGTACCGGCGTGAAGGGAAAATGAGAGAAAGGTGGGGAGAATGAGAGAGAGGGACAGGGGCGCGGAAGGCACCATCCTCAGGCATTATCCGCTGCTTCAGCTTGCCCATCTGTTGCCGGGGACATGGAATCAACAAGTTGAGGCGCCCATATGTTCATGGCATGGCAGCACTCTCCTTCCAGTACTAGCCCTCTCCTTCCCCCTCCCTTCCCCTTCCTCCCTCTCCCTCCCCCTTTTTCCGCGCATCCCCCCCCCCCCCCCGGCGCACCTTGGGATGCTCGCCCCGCCCTCTGAACAGCCCTGGCGGCTCCACGCGGAAGTTGCCGACCTGTCATGGCGGAGCGACGGGGAGGAGGGTTGAGGGTACGGGAGGATGAAGGGGAGAGGCAACGAGTGGGAAAGGAGTAGAAAGCGACTGGTTATCCGGCACATCACATGTTGCGACATAGGACAAGACATGACATGACATGACATGACATGACATGACATGACATGACAGGACAGGACAGGACAGGACAGGACAAGACATGACATGACATGACAGGACATGACATGACATGACATGACAGGACATGACATGACATGACATGACAGGACATGAGATAACATCTCACCTTCTCCTTCAACCCATCTATCACAGCGTGCATGTACTTCTCCTCCGCCTTGAGCTTCTCCTCCTTCAACGCCTTCTTCTCCTGTGGGGCACAGGAAGCACAGGAAGACAGACAAAGAGAGTGGTTCCAAAGGGCAAGGTGAGAGGGCGTTGCACCCTGAGAGGTGTGCGTGAGAGGTTGCAAGAAATGGGACATACGGGGAAGGGAAGAAGAACAACTTCCTACATGAGCCTCTTCTCACCATCACTTCACCTCACTACTCATGTCTCCCCTCACCTCCGTGGTCATCTGCTTCTTCTTCTCCTTCTCCACGCCAGATGCCACCCCCAGACGGGCGTGAATTCACACAGCTCCAGCCGCTGAATCACGCGCAATTCTCCTAAGTACTGCCCCCTAAGCCCATCTGAATCCCACCTATGTGTTGCCCATCCCCCTCTCCGCCTCACCTCGGTGGTCATCTGCTTCTTCTTCTCCTTCTCCGCCAGGTGCCACTCCCAGATGGGCGTGAAGTCGCACAGCTCCAGCTTCTGGATCACGTGCCGTGCGCCCAGCACCTTGCGCCAGTCCGCCCAGAAGTTCTTGAGGAACACGGGCTTGGTTGCGTAGTCTGTTTCCCGCATCACAGCGAACATGGTCGCCACCTGCAAGGGGCGCATGAGGTGAGGGAGAGGAGGGGTGTGACTGGGAGGGTGCTTGGAAAGGCGCCCAGCACTTGCACCAGTCCGCCCAGAAGTTGTTGAGAAATATGGGCTTGGTTGCGTAGTCTGTCTCCCGCATCACAGCGAACATCGTCGCCACCTGCAAGGGGCGCATTGTAGGGGGGAGGGTGGGTAATGGGAGGGTGGACGGGAGGGTGCATGGGGGTGGAGTGGATGGGAGGGGTGCATGGGGGTGGATGGGAGGGGTGCATGGGGGTGGATGGGAGGGGTGCATGGGGGTGGATGGGAGGGGTGCATGGGGGTGGATAGCATTGGATGGCACACCGGCTTTGATGCGCAGTCTGTTTCCCGCATCACAGCAAACATGGTCGCCACCTGGCGGATGACGTGGCACAGAAGAGGCGGATGGTACGGATGGCAAGAGATAGAATGGAGCGGTATGTGAAGGCATCACGCTGCAGTACATGCCCAGGAGCAACGACCATGTTTTGAGGCGCCTCAAAACATGCCCAGGGGCAACGACCATGTGTCGCGGGCCAGGGCACTGGGAGCATGGATTGAGGGGCAATGGACAAGCGGAAGGGAGAATCTAACCAGAGCAGTAGGTCGTTCATGGGGCAGAGCACGGCAGCGCAGGGCAGGGCAGGGCAGGGCAGGGCAGGGCAGGGCAGGGCAGGGCAGGGCAGGGCCATAAGGCCACGGGCCACAGCAGGTGACAGCGGCTCACCTCTTCCTGTGCGGGCGTGAGGTCGACGGGCTTGCCGTTGTACAGCATCTTGACGCCATGGGGCGTGTAGGGCGGCGGGAAGATCACCCCGTTGTGCGACAGCGTCTTCCACTTCACCGAGTTGTCCTCCTTCTTCCCCTTCTTCGCCCCCCCCGCACCCGCCGCCCCCTTCCCCGCCCCGCCCGCCTGTCTTGTCGGCGCCTTGGCTGGCGCTCTGGCCGCTGGTTTGGCACCAGCAGCGGAAGCCGCCCCGGCTCGCTTGGCGAGGGGCACGTCCTCCTCGCTCTCAGACTCGCTTCCCTCCTCGCTGCCCTCCTCCTCGCTCCCCTCCTCCTCGCTCCCTTCTTCCTCGCTCCCACTCTCCTCCTCGCTCCCTTCCTCGCTCTCCTCCTCACTCTCCTCTTTTTTCACGCCCCTGCCCGGCCCGCTGCCCTGCCCGCTGCCCTGCCCGCTGCCCTGACCGCTGCCCGGGCGCAAGCTCTTAATCGGCTTCTCGTCGTCGTCGTCGTCGTCTGCCCGTTCGGCTTTCGCCTGCCCGCCTCTCCCTTCCTCCGCCTTCACCCTCCCCGCCCCTCCAGACCCATTCCCCGCGTTTCTCCCATCCCTAGAACCCCGCAAATCGCTCTCCCCTTTTACAGTCACTGGTTCCGCCTTCGCGCGTTTTTCCGCCGGACTCGGCCCGTCGCGACCCCCTCCGCTGCCGTCGCGCCCTCCCCCGTTCCCCGGATACCGCTCCGCCGGCCGTTTATCCCCCGGCCGAGCCGCCGAGCCCGCGCCGGCCGCTAACTTTCCCAGCGGCACGTCGTCGTCGTCATCCGACGCGTGGCGCGGCTCGCTATTCGTTGGCGGGCGGACGCCGCTATTTGCGCCGGTTCTTCCGCCGCCTCTCCCGCCGCCGGGCGAGGGTCGCGGACGATCGGCGGGAGAGGTGTGCGGGCGGAGCGGTTGAGAAGGACGCGATACTGGCGCGGGAGCGGAAGCGGGCTTCGCGCGCCTGGCTGTGAAAGGCGCATCCTCGTCGGAATCCATTGCGGGAGGTGCGGATCAGGAGGTGCGGTCAGGTACCCCTAAGTGAGAAGACTCGGTTAAGTTATACGTTGGAACCTGTCGTAGAAGCACAGTGAGAAGAGCAGCGGAAACATAGGATTGGACAAGAGAGCAGCTGGAGAACAGTGACTTAGTGACTTCCGCGCATAGTGATACGGTGGCGACGTGACGCGGAAGACAGGGTACGAGCCCATTCGGCAAATGATCAGGCAAGTCCTATTGAGAGAATATCGGCGAGTGGAGAGTCGTGGTCATGGTTGGAACAGCAAGGCGTAGGGAGGAGCGACGGAACGAAACGGAAATACGCCAGAAACGAACGTAAATCAGGGACGCGCGTTATCCAGGGACGCGAGTTAGCCAGGGACGCGCGCTAGTCGGGATGGGGCTCGACCATGAAAAACAGTAGCGAGGCAGGAAAGACCAGCGACTGGCTAAACAGCCGAAAGAAACTTGGCCGATATTGAAAGCATTCCGGAAACTCGATCGCCTCCCAGATGGGCATTTTGAAAAATGGCGAGTCGTGTTTGTTGCAACAGAAGCAACGCGTCGCGATCGCGACGGAACGAAACCAGCGCAAGCCGGAAACGAGCACGAGGCATGGGAGCGTTAGCCCAGGACGAGTTCACGTGCGAAGAAACGTCGCAACGAGACGAAACGGAGCGACTCGCTGGAAAGGCAAAGCGACTATGGCAAAAGTCGGTTCATAAAGAGTTGAATCAGGCCAATTTGAGGAGCCGTTTGGACGCTCAGTCACATTTGAAGAGAGTAGAGCGGAAACCCCACGGAATTCAGCTACAGCGTCCCAACTTACCGTCGAGCGGACCGCCTAGAACCCTCCACGTGCAAGGCGTGGCGGCCAAGGGTCCACGGGCAGAGATGGGTGGCCAGCCACTAGAGCAGCCACTTCAACGAATCGGGCGAGAGTTAACAGCACACAACGCGCCGAGCTGCCAGCGGATGTCGCAACCGAGAGAATTAACTCCCAGGCAAGTCGGCTAGGCGCGTAGGCTGGAACCTCTAGCTGCTGGTCTTGCTGAGACGCTAAGTCCTGAGACTTGCCAACCAGCTGAGGTGAACCTTAGGCTCAGACGCTAAGTCCCCAGACAGACAGCAGCAGGGGTTAGCAGCAGAAGCTGGAAGAGAGGTGGAGGGAGGGGAGCTGGAGGAGGGCATGAGAGCAACCAAGTCAGAGAGTGGTCTCAGAATGTCTACAGTCATGACCGCACTGAGGTTCTCTATAACGCGCAGAAACGTGCTAAAATTGCATTCTACCAGACTGAACCGCAACAACGAGCAGTAGGACTTGTGCGAATCTGAGGGTAACTGGCAACCCCGAGGGAGGACGAGAGGAGGAGGTCAGGTGGTTGGCGTCACAGCGGCTAAGTCCCGAACCTGCAGAGAGAATGTGGTGGTGCTGGTGCGCGCTGGGGTTTCGTGGGGGTTGCGCCAACCGAAGGAACCCCTGACAACGAGCGCACTCCGCAGGCAGGGACTCCAACACCAGCGGCCAAGTCCTGAACGACTGCTGAGAGAGAGGGAGCAGCGGAAGTGGGTGGGTATGCTAGGCGCGAGGACGGGATGGCGCAGAGCGGTTTTCGGGTTGGCGGGACTGGTAGAGAGGAGATGGGAGAATTGTGCTCCATATCTACACCGCAGTAAATTCCCAGAGATTTCTAGCTTCACACACTTACTACCTCGCAAATTGCAATGCTTTCTTTTCCTATGAAGCTAGCAAAGGTGGTTGTGAGTGTAAAAACCCTACAGAAAAATTGGCATCAAAGGACCCCACTCAAGAGGGCGCCGTTCATACGCTTTGCGAGGGCATCTTCCAAGCAAGAACATTACAAAATGAAACTCTGGTTTTTCATTCTGTATACCTGCATGTGCCATACAATTTTCTCTATTGAGGGATTTGTTCAACATGGCTGATGCTTCTCAGCCCAACAAAATAAATGCTTTACCTTCCCTGGCCAAAGTACTGTACCAGAGAGAAATTACTATCAGAATAATTGAATGATGGTAAAGTGAGAGTACACACAAATATATCTAAGTTTTGTATCCTCTAAGAGGTAACTCTATACAGTCTATACAAACATGACAAATACACATGTTTGACACACCCCCTAGACTGCATAGGGGAATACCCTAAACAAGCAGCTCAGGGCGGCACTACTAGTCCAACCTCTGAGACAAGAGTCTGAGCGACCGGTCAGAAGGAGTACAGACAAGGCAAGCACAAGAGCAGGGCGGCACTACTAGTCCAGCCACTGGGAGAGGACACAAGTCCAGTCTGAGTATACATATAAAGGACAGTACAAAGTCAAGGTCCTAGCAAGTGAGAGGCTACAGGAACTAGACCAAGCTGTACACAGTGCCGCTGATGATCTTTAGGCGCAAGCGCCTTCGTAAAGATATCAGCCGTGTTGGCACCTGAGGCCAAGTGTACTACGCGAGCCTGACGTCGCTGCTGTAGCTCACGCAGGAGGAAGTACCGCAGCTGAATGTGCTTCGCTCTGCCCTCGAGTCGAGGCTCCTGACACAGGAGGATCATGGCCCTGTTGTCAGCGAACAGGACCGGGGCAGAGCTAGGTCGCTCACCTAAGTCAGTGAGCAAGAAGGTCAGCCAGCGGAGCTCCTGTGCCGCCATGGCACCGGCGTAGATCTCAGCCTCACAGCTGGACTGTGCAACAGACGAGGAGCGAGTAGCTCTCCACGAGACGGCACCTGAGCCAAGGCTGAAGCAGTAGCCCTGGGTAGACCGGAGTGTCTCAGCGTCGTCTGCCCACGAAGCGTCTGTGTGCCCAGTAAGGACCGCTGGCCTGCGTCCTCCTAGCACTAACCCCATGCCCGATGTACTAGCAAGATAACGCAGAACCCTCTTAGCGGCAGACCAGTGCTGCGGTCGGTGTCTGCCTGTGGCCACAAAGCGAGCCAGGATGCTGAGAGGGTATGCGAGATCTGGGCGAGTGCAAGTCATCAGGTACATGAGGCAACCCACCAGCTCTGCGTAGGGGCCGCTGGGCTCTACCAACTCCTCAGGCACTGGAGCGGAGAGCCTGTGGTCTACAGGCAGAGGGGTGGGCTGTGCAGAGGAGAACTGAAGGCTGAACCTCTGAAGGACCTGGCGCACCAAGTGTGACTGAGTCAGGGTGATGGTGCGCGCAGCTCTGTCCCTGGAGATCTGCAAGCCAAGGTAACGGCGCAGTTCTCCAAGGTCAGTGCAGGTGTGTCTCTTCAGCAGCTCTGCCTTCACGGAGGCCAGCGCGTCCCTGTCTGCTGTGGCAAAGACCAGGTCGTCGACGTAAACGAGGATGTAGAACGGAGTCTGGCCAGCACGAACGAAGAGTGAAGGGTCTGCAGAAGACGGAAAGAACTGCAGGTCAGCAAGCGTAGCACGCAGAGTGTCGTGCCACTCACGGGGAGCCTGGCGCAGGCCGTAGACGGGGCGCCGCAGGAGCCACTGGGTCCCAGGAGGGAAGGTGCCAGTAAAGCCCGGAGGGCGGCGCAGGTAGACCTGCTCGTGTAGGCTGCCCTGAAGGAAGGCAGTGGAGAAGTCGAGGGAGTGAAGCTCGTAGTCACGCTGAGCAGCTAGGTGTAACAGAACCCGAAGAGTAGTCATCTTCGGGGTCGGAGCGAAAGTCTGGAAGAAGTCCACCCCCTCACGCTGACTGAAGCCTCTAGCCACATAGCGCGCCTTGAAGACAGGCGGCTCTCCAGGAGGGCGCTTCACCTTGAAGAGCCAGCGGCCATCGACTACGTTCACCCCAGGTGGGGGAACTGCGTCGACGAAGGTGCCGGTGGATCTCCAAGATGCCATCTCCTGCTCCATGGCAGCTATCCACTGCGAGGCCCAGGGTCCCGAAGTCGCCTCAGCGTAAGTGCGAGGGGTCGGGATGTCGAAAGCGTCTGGGTCACCCTCAGGGACTAGCAGCATGGAACAGAGATGGGGAGCAGCCTCGGAGAGGAAAGCAAGCTCGAACTGGCGGTCCTCCAGGACGTCACTGCCAAGGGCAGGAGCACCCCCGACAGACGGAGGACAGGCAGGGTCAGAGACCAGAGCGGTGGCGTAGTCAAGGCGGCGGGTAGAGGCGAAGTCAGCGACAGCAGCGACAAGAGCGTCAAGGCACGAGACTGGAACAGACGGGTCGGTAACGAGAGAGGCAAGGACCCGAGGAACAAGAGGACGAGCGGCACGAAGGTAGTCGGACAGCGGGGGGGGCGCAACAACAAGGGAGGACGGAGGAGGCGACGGCAGAAGGGGAGGACGAGACGCGTGTGAACGAAGCAACATAGGGTGGGAGCGCAGGACAGGCGAGGCAGGACGAGCACGGGAGGGACGGTGAGACCAGACGTGCGATGGAGGAGTCGGGTCAGGAGACAGGGGAGGGGACACAGGAGGGGAACGAGGGGGGAGACGGGCCGGGGACGAGTCCGGCGGAGGGAAAACAGGGCCGTAGACAGGAAGAGGAGGAGACGGTCGGGGAGGAACCGACGCAGGGTCGGGGGACGGAAGGCCGAGCAGGCGAAGGGCGGACACCGGCGGGGACTGCTGCTGCGGCGGCACAACGGCGACACCTGGACCGCAAGCTGCTCCTCGGCTACCACCGGCACTCTCCACACCCGCACCCCCAGAGGGACCACCCTCAGGGCGACCGGGACGAGCACCCCCAGAGTCAGCGAACGGGGGCTGCGACTGCGGCGGCGGCGGCGGCGGCGGCGACGGCGACGGCTGCAGTGGCGGCAGGGACGGCGGAGGAGGGGACTGGGGAGGGGACACCTGGGGAGGGGCGGCCGGCGAGGACTGCACCGGAGGGCCACCAGAGTCAGAAGACTCCTCAACCGGGTCCACGGACGGAAGGGGGGTGACATGGGAGACACCAGAGGGGGCGGGACGGGGAGGAGGAGGAGGAGGGGCAGGGACTACCGGGGAAGGGGTGACCAGGAACAGGGGGGGGGTAACCGGGGGACCACGGTGGGGGAAGCGGCGGTAGTAGGAGACGGACTCGTCAAAGGTGACGTCACGAGAGTGAAAGAAGCGGTGAGACGGCGGGTGGTAAAAGTGCCAGTCGGACGCGTCAAGGGGAAAACCGAGGAAGACGCAGGGAAGGGTGCGGGCAGTGAGCTTGTCCGTGCCGGAGGCACGGACGTGAGCAATGCAGCCCCAGACGTGGAACGCAGACGCGTCACCAAGAAACCCAGTCCACAGACGGGTCGGCGAAACCTGCGGCTGCTGAGGGTGCGGCCACAGGTTAAGCTGGTGAGAAGCGTAGCGCACAGCGAACGGCCACAGAAAATGGGGTGCACCGGCATGGACCATGGAGGTGCGAGCGACCTCCATGACCAAGCCGATGCGTCGCTCAGCGACCCCATTCTGCTGTGGGGAGTCCGGTAGGGTGAACGTCTGGGTGATGCCCTCCGCACGACAAAAGCGACCAAGGACACCTGAGGCAAACTCGCCACCACGGTCTGAGTGAAGACGCAAGACAGGGAGACCGCGGTGGACACGCGCAGAGATTAGCCACGGGATGAGGGCGCCAGGCACGTCGGCCTTGCGCTCCAGGGGAAAGACTGTGGTGTAACGAGTGAAGTCGTCGACAAGCACAAGGAAGTAGCGCTCGCGACGCGGCCCAGGGACGGGGGCGGGGCCCCAGACGTCCAGGTGCAGGGTCTGCAGCGGCGCGGTGGTAGGGGGGAACGAGGAGGAGTGAGGGGCACGGCGAAGCCGACCCTCGACACAAGGCGTGCAAGGTGGAGCTGGGGAGGAGGGAAACGCGGGGAGTGAACCTGGGAGACCAAGGACAAGACCGTGCTGGGACATGTGACGCAGACGCAGGAGCGCAGGGTGACCTAGGCGGTGGTGCCACAGGAGGGTCGGGTGAGTGAGGGAGCGACAGGAGCAGGCAGCAGCAACCTGGGTAGACACAGCCACCTGAGGGGGCGCTCCAGCCGGGGGGGGCACGGTGTCCAGAGTGAACAGGCCGGACACCGGGTCCCGGGGGAACGTGGACAGGGGGGCACCAGTGGCGGCCTCGGTACAGACAGCATACCGCTCGTGACCAGGGAACGTAGTGGTGACGCCAAGGTCCTGGAGGCAGCCGACACCAACTAGGTTCCTG